AATCCTTCCTTCTCCCCATAGGAAAGAAGAAGTTTTGTTGATCCCTAATAAGTTTGTTTGATCCCCAATAAGTTTTTTGATGCCTATCCCATTATAATAGACCCCCTCTGATTAAAGGCGCCTGATTTTTCAGCCGACTGCCAGCCAATACTGCTGTAAAGGCTTCCACAAGGTTTGGTCAGAAGACTCCTTCTTTTGGGGGCACCTGGTCACCTCCCAAGACCCCTCTGATTAAAGACGTGCCTTTCCGTCCCAACATTCAACAAATACTCAACAAATGAAATTGCCAAAGATACATTTGCCAATACTAACTCCTTTCATCTTGTCAAGGGTTGCCATTCCAGAAGTAACAATTAAAAAAGCCAGCCGGAAACAGCAAATGTATTTTTACAGTTTGTTTAAGACGTTTAAGAATTGGGTTTTGACAAGCTCGTGAAGGGTACGCCCTTTGACTAATCCTGGCCCTCTCCAGTCCTGGAAAATGAAAAAGGCTAATTACTTTTACTTTCCTATTGCAGTCCTATTGGCCAGACCGGGGTCCACACAGGAAAGGACCGGGGAGGACTGGCCAGGTTCAGACTAATCCAACAGCAGAACCCGCCAAATGAGGTTTTCCAAAACTTTGTCGATCTTGTGTGGGGGGGGATATTTTGTGTTGCAACTTCGGGGCGGGGGGTCATGCAGGGACCACACCGAACGATGCTCATACCAGAACCCCACAACTGCACACGCAACGTTCCAACCACCCGTTAGCATGACACATGCAGCACAGCATGTGTACACGTCTCATCTCAAACGACCCCCTGAAGGGAGACATGAAAGGAAAACCACAAGGAACTTGACCACATGAGGTCCCCCCTTTTAAGATACGCTCTCATGTTGCAAGGCATGTTGCAAAACATTTTACACTTACGGACATGGTTTGTTCCACAAAAAACATCAGCATGAAATTAGAGGTCCAACTTGTAGCCCAGCAAAATCATGGTTGAAAAGAAGATCCCTCACCAACAGTTGTTCCGAATGGAATTTAAGGGTCTTCCCTCCAGGAACCTTTTCACATTCCTTTAGGGCCGACTTTACTGGGGATGCCATTCAAACAAGGTTTTGGAAAAACAGAACATGACATCTCCGATTTGTGTGAAATACACTTCCTCCCACAAACCTAGCACCGCGATAGCTGGAAGCCCACTTTCTTCAAGGGACCCCTGGGTGCTATGGCAACATGCGAGGGGACCCAAGAACCTTCTCCCCTCGAGATCGGCGTATCATTTGAGGGATCCCTAAAATGGCGGTCTTCCCTTTTGGCTTTTTCTACAGCCGCAAAGAACTGGGGTGCCCTCAGATCCCCCGCTAGAAGTTTAATCTTTAATAGGTTAAATGGAAACTCCCACTAAACACTAAAAGTCCAAGAAGCTAAAAAACCCGATGGCAGGGAGCCGCCAAGACAAGGGATCCGCAGCGAAACCAAAAAACGACGCGCCCAACTCGCGTTCCATCGAAGGCGCCCTTGGCACCCCCAAGGCGCTCAGCTGCATGTGGAGCCCCCGCACCGCATCGAAGAGCTCCAGGAAGCCATTAGTGCAGTCGTACCACCTGGCAACCCGTAGTTTTCTGGAGGAAAGCGCCCCTTTCTTCGGGGAATGCACACACATGCATATATATATATATACATACAATATATATATATAATATGCATATGTGATGAAGGGACTGCAAAAGGACACGTGCCTTTTCGGAGTTCTGAAGTTTCAAATCCATGCAAATCCAAGCGTCAGCAATCTGCCTTTATTAGACAGGTTTATTGCAAACTACAGGGTGAAATTTTAGACCCAGGTGACTGCTCCTGCCTTTGGACAGAGCTGGACAGGAAGAAGCTGAGGAGCAAACCCACGACCACCTGGGTTGGTCAAAATATGGGACTCCCCAAAATGGTGAATTTTCCTGTGGCATCCCTTTAAACCAACTTGAGCAGCCTGGTGGCTTCCCTGCGAACCAAGGTGAAAAGCTACGCACCTCCAGGAAGGTGCTAACCTTCTGAAACTTCTGCACGTCCAGCTTCGCAGGGTCCTTCACCACCACCTCAAGCCCACCGGGACATTTCGGCGCGGTCTTTATCCTTTGGTTGACATGATTTTCCTGGGGATTGGTGTCACACATGGCCATGTAAGGGAAGACGAGATCAAGCCAACCATTCGTTAGGAGGCGCTATGTTAGGAAACGTTTGATGTTGCCCCTCAAGTTTGTGTTGAAGGGCAACCAGAGCCACAGAGACTCATGGGTGTAGCGCAAGCCGACAGGTGCTCATTGACCATCCTCACATGTGTCCCCTGCAGAAGGCAGCACGCAGTGATTCAGAAAGAAGCCAGTGTTGCGACCGACTGTGGCTTCCGGGTAGGCACCCTCTTGAAACCAAACCAAATTCCCCGAAACGGGTGACATGCCTGTGGTGCACACACGCACACACACACACACACATTCAACAATGATCCACGAATCCATTTTTTACTCATCAGCCCTGTGCAAAGAAGTTTCTCGCAGACAACACTGCACATGTGCCCTCTTGCTAATCTGCTCAATTTGTACGGCGTCGCTCATTCAACATCCGGACGCTTACATGGGCCAACAAGCATTGTTTTACTACCTCAGAAATGGCTAATTACCTCCGGCCCGGCCAACAATTTTAAACATCCGATGTTAAAAATACGTACTTTGCGCCACGTCTTCACGTCCTGTGTTCAGGGGGAAGGCATCTGATCAGATCAAACAAAAGCAAACACTTTCATCACTACCTCCCAGCCTTGAAACCCTGGCCCGGCCCCCATGACGAACGGACCCAAATCTAGTTGTCCGTGGTCGTTGGTCATAATCAATGTGAAACAAACTAAGCCAACACTGGAAAATAAGTTTTCTCCTTAAAAGTGTGGGGGCCATGCGTGCTGCCAAAGCCGCAGCCACGGTGGCCGAAACAGTGACCGCGATGAGGAACAGGCAGCCCATCATCTTCCACAGCGAGGGCTTCCTCCTAGACAAACGGGCCCCAAATATCAAACTCCCTGAAAAAAATGGCAGCCACCCGGAGCAGGCCACAATCAAAACGGAAACGGACCCACAATTTAGGGCCACTTTGCAGAAAGAAACGTTGCCCTGTGAACAAGTAGTCTCCATGTTCACTTGAACAGGGGCAAACCAAAGGCCCCGCTGGCAAGACAAGCCTAGCCCTTCATTGGTGACGGCAGCGGGGATCTTCTTGCTTTCCACTGCCAACGCAAAACCAATCAGGCTTAGCCAGCTTCACACGCACATACACACTTGCTCTTCGTAGGCATTCTCCCTTGTAAAAATAATGTGAGAATGGACAATTTGAACAGGCGCCATGCATCGGGCTAATCAAAATGCAAGAATACATGGAGCGCATGCTTTTGCCTGGAATCGGCAGGTGACGCAGCCAAATGATCGTGCGCGTTTACGAGGGTTGCACTTCAGAACCAATCCCAACTTCAGCTTACACGCATTTTTACGTTCGTCCACTTCTATGCTCTGCACGCCGATCCTCTACGCGCATGTTGACATCCTGGCATTGCCTGAAGGGGCGGCCTTGGGTAGGTTCCTGGAGAGTTCCGGGCAGATTCCCGTTCCAGGCAGCTTGGGGATGCTGGGGCGCAATCTCTATGGCTGATGGAAGATAGAGGAGCCTTCTCATCGGCAACGCGACCGGACATGTCGAACTACGAGCGAGGCGCAGCCCAAGTACGCCCAGCGCCTGATAAAGACGTTTCAGAAGATCAGAAGTCATAACAGTCACGAAAAGAATCTGGAAACTGAACGGTCCAGTGATGGAGCACGCGGGTGTATTGCCTTATGGGTCATAGGTCCGATTCGCCAAGTAAGTACATGGCAATTAGGGGTGTTCTGTAGGATTATATAGCTCAAAACCTGTCTAAACCTGAAATGGAAAGTTGATGGCCACCAGGTGTCCAGAATCCAAACGCCCTTCAAACCAGTCAGCGGCCCCAGATGGCCCCAGTGAGTCGATCCCGTCTGCGGCCATGCGTCCAAACAGTGCCCGCGCAGTTCTTGAACACGCTGAAGGTCACCAAGGTGCGAGCGTCGTAGCTCATGGCATCTTTCACCTAGCTTTCCACTAAACCCAGACGCCTCTAAACACCTCCCGTTGACTCCAAACAACTAAGTAACTGAGTCTTCTGACATTTCACAAGGCTCTTGCCAACTGACTCACTCAACTTGTCAACCCCCGCCTCGGATGGGCTCGTCTCCTCACGAGGGAAACGGGCGCATGGCCCAAGGCCCCTTCCTTTCCAATGATCTTGGTCGAGGTGTTCCCCCAACAAATGGCACCGGACATTCTATGGCTATGAACTTGAACGGACCCCTCCAAAACGGTTGGACAATGTGGACAAATCATGACAAATCCCCATGCAAAAGATGTCCACCAAACGGCCCCTAACCAAAATTCACAAGATGACATTATGTCTCATATGAAGACCTGCCAGCCAATAACAAGGCCTAAGGCAACCTTGGGTCGTCCCGCCTCGAAGAAACCAAGTGGCCTTCAAAGAACAGCCAGAACCAACCACGTGCAGAGATGACCACGCCTAGAAACCTCCACCTTGTGGTGTCGGTGTGTTCAACATGGTTCGCTAAAACAAAAAACAGGTCTGGCGGTTCTTTTTGAACAAAGCAGGTGGCTCGGCCCACCCGTGTCCTTGCTGAGTGTGCGTTGTCTTCCCGCTAGACCTTCCTCTGCCAGCAGCGGAACCTTCTCGCTGTCATTGCCCTCCATGGAGTCGGATGCATCCATGAAAACTTCGTTGTACCGGCTCGAGCCGGCAGCTTCAGTTGGACCGAGGCTCAACATCTGAGAAACATGTGGGTGTTTTGGGGTAGGGGTCCTTTTCATAGATCCCTGACCCAGGAAAGCTTGACAGATTCCAGGGGATCCTCGGCCACTTCAGGGCTCCCACCCCACGCTCGCTCCGCACCTGCGTGGCGCCTGATGCAAACATCTCTGGCCGCAGGGCGTAACCTCGCGGGCCAATCCCACATCTCATCCGTTGAAACTGCCCAAACCCGCCTCAAGGCTCTTGTCCAACCGTCCATCTGCAAGATCCAACCAACTTTGGTGTCCCAAGAGAGAGAACAATTCCTTGGAACCTGTCCTACCGGCATTGAAGCTCCTAGGTAGTCTAGCCCTCTCAGTGCAGAAAAGAGTCGGTCGTCCTCCAAAAGCTCAGGCGGAACCTGCCCACAACCGAAGCAATCAATACATTCCAAAAAATGGCCATCCAGCTGCGCTTGGGAACATCCAACAGCATGTTGGCATCTGATCATTTTTTCCAGCAGCCCCACCAGCCTCACTGAATTGGTTGAAAAGCGGCCCACCGCGCTGGGGCGCAGGAACTTGCCAGCTGCAGAGTCCAGGCGCCTGAGCCAGCAACTGCAGTTGCAGCAATGCGCTTGCAGCTAAAGTGAGGCTACATTTGCCAATGCATCTGCCATCAATATGACTCTTATTTGCCTGTACTGTTGCAGATGCCGTTGCTGACGCGTCAGCCATTGTCTCTGTCCCGTTGCAGATGCTGATGGTGTTGCTGTTGCGCTTAGTCTGCTTGCTGCTGCAGCCGCTGCTCTTAGTGGCGTTTCCTGCCACGTTGGCCAAGGTTTGCCTCCGCAAGCAAGCTGATGGGGAGCACCATGCCTGTCATGCGCTCGCTGTAAGCCAAGCAGCTGGCTGCAAGCCACACTTTTCTCTGCAGATGGCCTCAGAGGCAGCGAGCGCCTTGCCTCCAAGGTCAGCTTGAATCTTGAATGGCCATTCGAGAGGGGGTATGGAAAAGCAACAATCAATCAATCAATCAATCAATCAATCAACCAACCAACCAACCAAACCAAACCCAACCCAACCCAACCCAACCCAATCCAACCCAACCCAATCCAACCCAATCCAATCCAATCCAATCCAATCCAGTCCAAGCCAGTCCAATGCAATCCAATCCAATCCATCAAACCAAACCAAACCAAACCAATCCAATCCAATCCAATCCAATCCAATCCAATCCAATCCAATCCAATCAATCAATCAATCAATCAATCATGGGACAACTACGCATTCTGTGCCATTAAGCAGCCAGTTGAGGCATACAAGGCTGCGCCGGAGGGCTGGAGGCCAATGTATTTGGGCATGAACTTGACTAGCGTCCGACAAAGCACCGCATTTTGCGAGTGATGGGTGCACAAGCCACACGCGAAGGACAGTTCATGGTTTCAACTGGCGCCTGGCATAGTAGCGACACAACACGCTGTGAAATGCAGCAAGGCGAGTCTCACACCTGCATGACCTAGACAACTATCGGGAACCAACAGTGGCCAAATATACCTCCTTCTTTTGGATGGCCTTTCAAAGCGAAAACAGTCGAAAACATATTTGCGAACCATCACTTGCGCAGTGGAAAAATCCAAGGCACCACCTTGCCGGCTGATTGAGCCGGTCATGAGGATCCCCGCAGCTGCAGAAGGCTCCTTTAACACCTGGGTTTTTGGGGCCTCCACTGCTAAGCACGCAAAGGTGTGATGAACTTGGTGACCAGTACAAATGGCTGTGTTGTTTTCGGGTGTTCCTTCCCGCGGCCAAAGGCCTAGAGACTGGAGAAAACTACCTAGGACTTTGGTATTGGACCCAACTAGGCCTTCAGTGTTCACGCGCAACTTCTTGTGTGTACATCTTACATCGTTTGTATAGCTTTCCCTTGGACACAAGGATCACAGAAGGTTAGGGGATTCAAAGCGCCGGACGGTGTGCGTTTTCTTTTTTTTTTTTTAATGGTCGTCCAGGATTTGGCTTATCAAAAAGGGGGCACAACCGTCCAGGGATTCGATTCGATATATGGGCCATTTGGCAAGCATTCCTAGAAAGTGGCCCCTCATTTTCTCAATGGTTCAGTGATGGCAAAACCAGAACGCCCTTTAAGGGTTGATCAGCCTAGTGGGAAAGCCACCAAACAACAGAGATTTGAAGGGTGCCACTGAAGAAGCGTGTCTTAAGAACCACTGAATTGGTTTCTGGCAAGGCGCCACAGCATCCAGCAGCTCCACTGGCAGCTTGCCCCGACCTGCGGTTGGCTTTCTGACTGATGCGAACCGAGCCCCAACGCCTTTCGTTGGAAGCCCTTTCGTTCGTTGGCGTTCTAGTTGTTGCGGTTCGTCTTTGAAATTTTGGCACTAAAGGGAGCGTGTTTGCCGTTCTTGTTTCTTGGTTTGTTTGTGCATTCGGGCCTTAGAATGGGATGCATTGCAGCCCTGCAAAGTTCCCCTGTCATGCTACCAGCGTCCTCACCGCGTGTTCAGGCTCATTCTTCCTCGCTCTTCGATTCAACCGGTTCCACCACCGCACGCTTCGCGACTGCTAGATTTGGCTCCTTGTTCCCCCTTTGCCTGCAGTTTTTGCTTGGTGGACACCTGTTTTGCAACCACCTGTGTTTGGGGTATTGCTTAAACAAAGTTTGGGCCTGCAAAATAGGGTCTAAGCGCCCATGGCACCGGTGTGGAAGCCGCGTTTCTCCCTCACGGCGAGCCCGCCTTCTCCCAGCGAACTTTGCCACTTCTGCAGCGTGCTGAGCACCACCGCCTCGTTCTCCACGGGGTTCAGCGAGCAGGTGGAGTAAACCACCACTCCTCCATCCGAACTCCATCCCTTGTCCAACTTCGGGGGCTTTCCCTTCAAAAGTCCTCCTTTCAAGGGCAACCGTGATGTCGCAACCTCCTTGACCTTTGAGCCACTTGGATTTCGGGCAACTGATGAATATCAATATAGTGTTCCGCCATGGTGCCCCCCGGGGGCAGCAGGTACAGCGCCCGCAGCAGGATCTGCCAGGGTCATGCTGTCAGCACCCTCCCGTGGCATGGACCTGGAACCTAAGAATAGGCGCCGAAATCTAGGTACAACCAGCCCTGGTCAACAATGAGAGCCCTCTCTAGGGTGCCACAGAACACCTGGCGAAAGGAATTACAATGCAATACGACCCACCTGGCGCTGCAGTCGCTGCAAGCCCAGCGCTTCTCGGCGCGACCAGGAGCGCCACACCTCAACATTGTGCTTTTTGAGGATCGGTACCCTGTTTAGGTTGGTATTGCGTTGGCTTGAGGGGGGACAAAAGGACAACCACCAGTCTTTCCCCCTCCCCTTTTTGACATGAACACTTGTCAAATGGATGCCTGACACCTTCTCAGAAACCAATAGGGGCCTCTACCCAAAATCTATCCTGGACGTGGCTCAAATGTGTACCTCGAACTTGAAACGTGTCGATCTTTGTCTCTGCGGAGTGCGGAGCAGGCAGCGCTGCTCAGGAGTGTCTGGGACAGCATGTCAATTGAAGGTAGTGTTAAGAAGCATGAAGCTGAAATGTGAGCCAAAAGTTGTGCTCAGAAACCTCAGGAGTTTTAGCCAAAGAGGTTGGTGCGGAGTGTAGCTCGGCAAGGGCGCTCAGAACTTTAAATCAGGATGACTCTCAGGACTGTTGCTGGTGCGGGCAGTGTTGCCCGGAGCGCTAGCAATGTTAGTCAAAAAGAGTCAGAAGTGGGTACCCGCCTGCGAATTCTTCCGGGCGGTGCCGTCTCCACTGCACGGCACGTCCACCAGGACCTGCGCATGTCCGTGGCTCTCGAGCTCCGAAAATCAAACCGGCAGAAGAAGCCCAATATAAGCCATGTTGACAGTTATTCTTTGATTTCTTGTGGACTGACCCAACCACAAAAATGGCCCAACATCTGACAAGGTGACCAACCACAAGGGTGGAAAGGGTCACGGGTCCTCTTAATTTGTCAAATTCCAGGGCGAATTGTCTTCCCTCGTGAAGGGTCCTCGGAGCTGTCTGGTTTGACACTAGGTGGAACTCACACGTTGGGGCAAAGCTATGAGAGTCCCAACTGGCTGACTTCATTGACGTGTTCATGAGAGCGCCTTTGAACACGGAAGCCGCTCTGGGTCACCATCTCTCTCCTCCTTGGTGTGGACGCACGGACACCCACTTGCTAGTTCCTCCGGTCGTGGTCACAATCTGGACTCCCGTAAAAAAGCTGCTGCACCATAAGCCAACCTACACGATATGCACCGGTTTTCTGCCTTGCTCCTGACTCCTCACTAGGCGTGTCCCCATAGCAAAATGGCCCAGTAGCTAGGGAACAGGTGCGCACTTCCACTTTCGGAGTGTCATAGCCAGGGTGCGAATTTGATACAACCAGACCCTGGGCCCCATGCAGGGAAACCAACAAGACCTTGCCAAAAAAGATCCAGCAATAGTGGTTTGAACATGTTTCAACAGGTCGGTCATTTAAAACCATCCCTCCAGGGGAAAAAAGGGAGCATACCCTTCTTTGGGTCGGTTCAAAGGAAAACCAAAATTTTGGGGCCTCTACCTTGACACATGCCCACCCTTGTCATTCCGTCCCAGCGGCCACGAGGACCGGGAAATGCCCGGCGTTCGCTAGCGCAGCGCAGGACATGGGTGAGGCCGCCTTGCCCAGCACACGGTGCAGCGTGAGGCAACACCTTCGATCACGGCCCGAATGCCAAGTGGGCTTGTCAAAATTGCCTGGGACAAATAAACGTCTGACTTGCCCCTTGTGCCAGTAAGATTGTTCAAACCCAAAAACGTCCGAAAAGACTAAACAGCCAAGGAGTGAGGAAGCCCAGCAACTCACCGTGCATGGCCGTTTTTGTTGCTGTTGGACGTGGTAGCCTCACTTGCAAAATGTTCGAGAAACTCAGCGTGGGGGTCAAAGTAAGGGGGTCGCACAAATTGCACAAGGAAGGGTCACAAATGTGGCCCCTGTTTGGGCCCTGCTGTCGCACTGCGCCGCCTTCCTGAAGGGGTCCAAGAGGGCCCCAATTTTTGCCACCTACGCATCATTTGCTTATGTGCCAAGTGCACCATACAGCTCGACACCCGAGTGTCTGTTTTTAGAGTACTGTACGATTTTTGAGGTTGTAAACAGCAGGTTGTATTTGAAGGGGACTAGATGGAAATCACCCCTTTCTGGCTTTTCTTTGGCCCCAAACGAGCCCACACATCTAATCCAAGCCACCGCTGCGCATCATTGTCAGCTGACCTTAAAACGAGACAGTCCCCCCCAAAAAAAATCCTCAAAGGACCCTTCCGAAATGGGATGGAACTGTGGTGGCACTTGATGGTTTGTTTAATGAATGTGCTTGTGACTTACTTTTGGGAGTCAATTGGACGTCCTCCTTCCCATTGACTACTTCGTCTTAAGGCTAAGGGCGGATGGAACCAACCCCTAATTCCCGCAAGCTCGCTTCCTAAGCACTAGGCGGCCAAGCATGTACCATCGCATAAACCACATTCAATTCACCTCGCCGTGTGCACGGTGTCTCGCACGGAGGCTGTCGGGAATTGCTTCTCCTGACAAACTGCCCTTCAGCCGCCCTTCCGCGTCTTCCGCGCCTGCGTGAAATCTAAGCCAGTTGCTGCTGGTCATGGTATCCCTATTTCTTCGGTCGCGTGGCTGGGCACCTGTTCTCAGGCCACTGGCAGCTTCGACATGAGCCCTTTGTTTTGTGGAAGGCTCGAAGGGGTCTTCCGCGCGACTTCCGCGCCTGTCGTCGTGTGGCCCTGGGGGCTTTACTATGCCACACACACACACAAACAAGCCGTGGCCTTTCCACGTCCCTTCTGCGTCTCTTCTGCGCACACAGCAGGAAGCTCATGCCTGGAAATTCGGAACACTGAGCCGAATGGTTTTCTGACCACCCCCCCTTAATTTTCCAAACAGGTGATGGTCAAACCGCAAATATGGGTGCGCCATTTTTTCGGGAGGACAAGTCTCCAGGTGAGTTCGTTTCAACCCACCCACCCTCCAAGCTGCGAGCGCTCTTGTTTTCTTTTGGCGTGCAACCTCCATGTGGAAAGCCCCACATGAAGGCCCTTGTCTTGGCTTCCACCCGCAGGCTTAGCTCCTTAGCTCCCTGCAGCAGCGGTCGCCAAACCTTCCCCTTCCTGTACTCAGCTACTGTACTGCTGGGTGGGTGGGTGGGAAAACATCAAATTGGGATGTGAGGGGGCCTGGCACCTTGAGCCAAAATGGCCGGTGACCAGGTGACATTTCCCCCCTCACACCCACACTTCAAACCTGTCACCTTGTCCCACAGCCACTGCGTGGCTTTCACGACAAGTCTCCAGGTGAGTTCGTTTCAACCCACCCACCCTCCAAGCTGCGAGCGCTCTTGTTTTCTTTTGGCGTGCAACCTCCATGTGGAAAGCCCGTAATGAAGGCCCTTGTCTTGGCTTCCACCCGCAGGCTTAGCTCCTTAGCTCCCTGCAGCAGCGGTCGCCAAACCTTCCCCATCTGGCAATCCGCGACCTACTCCGCCCAGTTCTTCAGGATTTTCACGCACTTCGCGCACATCCTGAACTCCTTCGAAGGGTCCTCCACTATCGAAAACTCCACCTGATTAAACCGCCATCCGCACACCGTTTGCCATGCAGTCGACGGAATCCTCACGGAGATGGTGCCCACCTTGTGCACTACCGCTCCCGCTACTCTTCTCTTGATCCACTTGGGCTTCAATTCTTGTGGACGGCGGTCCACCTTGAAGAGAACCTCACCTGTGGCGGACCTTCGCAAGGGTTTCTCGTCGAACTCTTCGAGGGCAGCAAAAGCATCTAGGAGGAAGGAGGTTTTGGCCATGGCAAAGAAGTATTGTGGCAGCAGACCCATCTTCCCCCTCCAGGAAAACACTGTGGTGAGCGTGGCAGCGGCGTTGTCGACCTCTGGCTTCAGGTCGGTCATGATGTATGTTGCAGAGCTCAAGCAGTTGCACGTGGAGAAGAAGTTCCCCGGACATCAAAAGGTCGGCAACCCGAGGGCTAGGGCCTCCAAACAGAGCCCCTCTCATCGATGTGAAGCCAGTACCCCGGGTTCGTGGACGACAGGGAGGTGGCGTTGAAGAATCCAGCGGAGGTGCTCGTGGTGGCCATGAAATGGCTGTTAAGGGAAGTGGAGGTAGCTGCCCTGACACTGGGGAACGCGGTGGTGGACTTGGAGGCTGGCACTGCAACTTTGTTCCTGCCCGTGTCCAAGACTGACGCAGGTGGCTCGGGTGTTGCAAGGACCCTCAGGTGCTCTTGTAGTCGCGGGGTGAGAGAAGAATGCCCGGTTCACACACTCGAGACCCTGGTGCGTACAGCCAACTCCAAGCTCTTCATGTCATCCATCACCTCCATGGCATCCTTGAACGACCCCCTCTTCCTGCTCTTCAAAGCGGGGAGATCCTTGCGAGGTTGAAAGAAATCCAGGCACACCCCCCAACCTCCTGCTCCCCCCTTCCCGACCATCACCTTTGATTTTGGGGGACCTGGGCCTAAAGACGCCTCCCGATGACCTTGACGAAGAGGAGTGCCACCGTCTCTTCCCCGACCGACTTGAACATGACCGAGAAGAAGTCGACCTGAGCCCCGACCTCCCTCGTGCCGTAGAGCTGCTCGACTTGCCGCACAGTTTTTTGACCACATCCGAAACCACCAAATCGATCCCCGGTGAACATTTCCATCGCCACATCTGCCTTGAAGAGACCTTGTCGCCCGCTTTCCTCACTTGGCTTGCCGCGACATGACCTTGGGGGACAGCAACAGGGAGCGATCGTGACCTTGAAGCGGACGGCGACGGAGTTGGAATTCCGAGAAACCGTCCTGTCCCCGTTCCACTGCTCTGGATGGAGGCGTCCGTGGGTTAGTGGTTCCTCGAGTTCGCGCGAGAGCGGAGGTCCGCGCCCACGTTGGCGACATCTGCGCCACCCCCAGCAACAAAGAACCACGTCCATGCTAGGTACCATATGGCGGTTCCCAGCCATGTCATCTCCTCCAGCGGCATCCGGTCGGCGTCGACCCATGGCCTAGATACCTCCATCCTCCCTAGCCTTCGAGCCCGGGTCCTGCGTGCGGTTCGGCACCTGACATCCGGGGCTGACTCTCGAATTTTCCTTCCTTCGGGCCCGAACCGGATCCATTCAAGGACCACTCCTCCAAAGGGTTCAGGCCCACATCGTTTAAACCAAAAGAGGGGACCTCGACCCCGTTTGCAGACCTTCACGACCTTTCGCGCTCCCTTCCTCGACAAACAAGGCACCTCATCTTGTTTGTCCTTCCTTCGGGGCACAAACCGGATCCAAACAAACGGACCCCGTACCTTCGGGGTTGAGGCCCCCCTTACCTCCATCGAGCCCAGTCGAGCTGGACCGGATCCGATCTTCGGACCCTACCTCTTTTCCTTTGGTTCAGCCCGTCAATGGAGGTCCAGCCACGCTTCACACGGCTGCCCTCCCCACAAACCAGGGTGTTCCCCTGGCGTAGGGAGTTCAAACTTAAACTCCTTCGCTGCCCGCATCTTTACCTTCTCCAGCGTCTCGGGCGTCTCGGCTCTCATGTGTGGGCGAGAGAGCCAATCAGCCATCAGATTCAAGACGCCGGGGATGTGCATGGTAGACACATCCATGACCTTCAGCCTTTCCAAAATCAGCGCCAACTCCGCGCCCAAGAAGTTGAGGGCGGGGGTGCTGCTAGCCAACTTGTCTGCCGCTGCCAAAGCCACCATGCTGTCCGACCTGACGCTCAAAGTCACCGGCAGAGTCGCCAATGTCGACTCCCAAGTTTTCACCGCCATGACCACCGCGAGGGCCTCCACGATTTCTTGGCTCCTCGATGCGCCGAACTCGAACCGCAGCGCCTCGGCCATCGCTTGCGTCACTGGCAACTCCATGGCCTCCAGGGGCGACAGATCCCCCTCGGTTTTCACTGCCAACACAGCACCCAGCCCCATGGGGGAAGCGTCCGACACGACGCACACCTCCACGCCGTTCGGCTTGAGAGGCACTGCCCTAGATGGGGCCAAGGACACCCCCTCCAGAAGCTTCTCCAGCCAAACCCAAGGAAGTTCCACCAACGACATCACGATGGCAACTGGTCAACACCGCGTAGATGATGGAAACAATCCACCTGGCCTTCTTCAGGATACCGGCCACCCACGAGCATTTCCCCGCGATGGTGCGGAGCTGCCTGGGCCCCACCATCTGCTTGACCTTCCACTCACGGATGGCCGCCTCGATTTCTTTCATCATCTTTTTCCGGCACCGACACCACCACGTAGCCGTCTTCCCAGTCCAGCCTGAAGGTGATGCCGATCCACACCAGACGATCAGCTCGATGTCCTTTATGCCACGCTAACGTTAGCCCCAACGCACCCATGGTCAGCAACATGAGTGCCAGATTGCGGTCACGTCTCGCCTTGCTGCCGACCAAACACGACAGCGGGTCGTCCATGTAGATCTGCATCTGCACCTCCGAGGGCGAGTACATGCTCTGCAAAAACCTGGCCACCTGTGCCGCCAACCGTCCCATCACTAGGGGGGCCGCTTTAAACCCGAACAGCATGGCCACAAAGCACAGGTACGTATCCTCCATCACGTCCGGCGGCAGGCAGTGCTTCAACTCTGCCCCGTGAACCGCGTAGTGCATGTAGGCGTCCGACAAATCCGCCGTCACCAGCTCCGCCCCCCAGTCCTCCGTGGACAAACCGAGCTCCTTGTACTTCTGCAACAAGCCCGGTTCCAGACTCTTCATATCCTTGACCATTCTGATGACGTCGTCAGGGCGGGGAAGCACTATTCTCTCCGGGGTGACGCACTTGTCGTTGCCCCCACTTCGCAACAAGTCAATGATCAATCTCTTTCCGTTCGGCCTCTCCTTGAGCAAGATGCTGAGTTTACTCATGGTTCCCGCTTGCCACGTACCAGCTTCCCTCTTGGAGATCCGGCACGCATACCCCTTCTTGATCAGGCGGTCGACCTCCTCCGCCGCCGCATCCTCATGCTCCACCATGGACGGGTAGTTCTTGAGAGCCGCCCACGCTTCCGGCTCCAAACTCCTCCAAGGGGTGATCTTCATCTGGTCTTCCTCCTTCACCAAAGGGAAGATGCCGCACGTCGGGATCTCCACGCTCATTCCCAACGGGGCTCCTTGTCTCACCCATTGTCCAGTATACGCCTCCGCCCCACGATAGGCCCACGCCTCCAGCAGGTTAGCCTGCGACGGGGACTTGAACCGCGCGCCCAAGCCCTCCTCGAAGTCCTCGAAATTCACGAGCCAATCGCGCCACAACTCCACGATTCCCGGGTCGCCCTCCGCATTGCCAGACCCATACTCGGTGGCAACCTTGAGGGCGTCCGGGTAGGCCAACACGAAGCTGTCAAACATATCGGCCACCTTCTCGCCGACCGATCTCAATGCCGGCAACCTTCTCACCGCCGTCGCCGGGTTCCTCATGCCCCCTATGGCCTCTCGGTTCTCCAGCTCCCGCCGCGCCTTCTTGGGGCCGCCTTCAATTGTTGATGCCGGCCTGATCCGCCTTGCCATCTCAGTTCCGCAAAATGTTTCTTGCGCTTCTTGGATCTCGACAACTTCTTGGGCGGACTTGAGGTCCAAATCCACTAGCTCCTGGGAGCCCGCAGCCAGCTCGGGGCTTTTCGACTTGGCGGAGCCAACTTGATCTTGGCCGAGGTGCCCTTTATCTCCTGAGCCAGCTCCATCCCTCTGAAAGTTAACCACTCCTTCTTGGCCGTTCTCATCCATGACGCCAGTACCAACTCCGCGTATTTCCTGCATAGCTCCCGGGGGTATGCCCCCGCCTTCAAGGACATCTCCTTGCCGACCACTGGCGTGTGCTGGAAGCCGACCCCACACAAGCAACCTCCAGAGAGCTCCTTCAAATTTTCCAACCTCCCCGCGAAGACCTGCGGCTTGAAGAACCTCATTTCTTCGTCCATCATGTAGCGGCACGAGTTAAACTCCGGCACTGCGATGCCCTCCTCCTGCAGGAACTCCTTCATCTCCGGCAAATCCCAAACACTGCCCGCGAGCTTGTGTCCTCCATCCGGGGGGTTTTCCAACGTTGCTATTGGTCGGCTCCCTGTTGCATTGGCTCTCAACCGCATCGCTCTGGCCATTCGGATCGACCGGACGGCCATCAGCGTTCCCCGATCAGCTTCAGCTTGTTGGCGTCCGTCATTGTCAGGAAGTCCGTAAATGAAGACCTTGGATCGAACGGGTTTCGGGAGTCCTGGGGACTCTTTCCATCTCAGCCTGGAGAAAGACGAACAAGGGAAACCTGAGTGAAAGGCATCATACTCCCCCAGCAGCATCCCCCTCAATAGGGCTCCTCCGCCAACAAGTCCGTTCCTCCTAACCTGTCCACACTAACCATGGTTACCCGCATGTAGACCTCCTGAGCCATGGCCATGAGTTCCTCGGACAGGCCATCCCTTTCTCCAGCAAAATGGTGCAAGAACTTGAAGGGCCTCATTTCCACGTACTCCCTCATGCTTCTCGCCTCTTCACGTGCAGCTTGAAGTCGAGCCTCAAAGCTCTCTCCCATGGTGACCGTGCCCTCGAGCTCTGCCATGACTCCACCTGCCCTTCTAGAAGAGCTCGACGCCATCGTGCCTAAGTCCCCTTCTTCTGAGAGCAACGAGTCTGCGGATGGGAAGGCGACAAACATATCTGACACTTGTGCACTCGCTTGATGTGAATTCCTGCACGGGCTTAGATCGTTCCCTTGGTTGACTTTCAAACCTTTTCCCCCACCTTTGGGGGCCTTGCCTGCGTTTCCTTTGCCTCGGAGACCCTCGTCTCGTTCCTCCCCCCACCTTTTCTTCTTGGCAGCCCTCCGGTTTCGCTTGCCGTTTCTTGGGGTCGCTCACCACGGTGGGCATTTCCCAGGAGCCTTCGCCCGCATCTGAGTGAACTCCTCTCCTGGCGTCTTGGCCACCCCTCGACCTCCCGCCGCCATCCAAGCAGTTGCTGGATGCCTTACGTGGTGAGCCCAAAAACTTTCGTCCTCCAAGAGCAAGCGAAAACATGCCGTCCACGGACTCTTTGGTTCCCATCCATCCGGAGGCCTCTTGCCGTTGGAGGCGTCCACCAAGACCTTCTGCTTGATTTTGATCAACTTCTCGGACCTGGACTTTTCGTCGGCCGCCATGATCAAATGCCATGCCGTGGGGTACATCCTCACCAACTTCTCCACGTGCCTCTCGTACCCTTCCAAGACCGCTAGCTCAGGATGCCCAACATCAAGGAGGCCACCCGGAACACTCTCCAAGACGCCAACCACTGCTGAACATTTCCTGGCCCCGGGAGTTCCTTGGTGATGTAAGTCCCATCTCCCGACGGTAACCAGGTTCGAAACTTGTTTGCCCTCAAAGCCCTTCGCCCAAAGGGGACCCAAACAGCGAAGTCGACGAAAGGGGGTTTTCCTGAACCGTGACCTTTTTGTAGAGTGCCGAACGTGGGATCCTCCTCGTCCTGCGGGTTGAAACCCATTATGGTCAGGCATCGCTGCACCCAACTGTCGTACATGTCCATGGTCACCGGGATGAACTCTCCCTCGTCTGATTGGTCTTACAGCCGACATCTTGACCGTCCTTTCCTTCACGTTGTGGTTCCCTGTTGCCGTCCCCGAAAAGGTCGGTGTTGACAAAGAACCACCACCGCCAGAAACCCCTTGGTTGGACCCAGTCACCATGGTTGCCTGTAGCGGCTGCCACGGATCCGTGTCCCCCCAGTCGTCCCAAGCTCCACCTCCAAGAGTGAACGCCATTCTCCTGCAGCACCGCCAAACCAACCCCACATGGGCCGCTTGAATCATAGAAAGGGGCGTGCCGTCGGAGAACTCCGCGTGATTGACACCCTCCAGCAACGCCGTCTCCGGGAGAGCAGCCATCAAACGAACCGAATCTCCCGGGTCGCCCACACGCCCAACGAAAGCTAGCCAAACTCCCTGGTCTATGTTGTACCAGGTGAGGACCTCGTTTAACGACGTCCATTGCGCAGCAACAGCTCCATCGGGAAAAAGCGACATAGCGGCCCGCGGAAGAAAACATCAAATTGGGATGTGAGGGGGCCTGGCACCTCGAGCCAAAATGGCCGGTGACCAGGTGACATTTCCCCCCCTCACACCCACACTTCAAACCTGTCACCTTGTCCCACAGCCACTGAGTGGCTTTCACAGACACCTTTCTTGAGAAGATAGACATGGCGAACCTAACGGATTGCCAGGAGTGGCCAAGGTCTGCGGCCCAGGCAGCACTGCACCTTCGGAAGGCCCATTTTGGGCCAACTCCTCCAGCAGCTGCAGGGACTTGTTCCTCAGTGAGCTTTTACACATGAAGGCTTCTCTTTGAAACAAGTGCAAGAAGGGGGGTAGCCATCACTCTAAAACCCATCTAGGGGCCTGCTTGGCAAAACACATTCTCTGAGCCGCCGGCCCCGGCGCGGCGCACAAATCCAAGCACACCTTAGAACTGTCTCCAGGCGGTCTGGACAAAATTGACTTCACTTTTGGATGCTTTGGTGCACATCATCTCCGCGGGGATGCATTAGTAATTTTTGCTGGTGTTCCAATCATCCAATTTCAGAGCCCAAAATGGTTGGGTTGGCCGATTCGGGGTGTTCAGCCTCCTGTTGATCCACCAGGTTAACTTTGAGAACGACTCCGCCTGTGGGATCTCTAAAGCCGCGAACTACAAAGTGCGTCCCCTTGGCTTCCTGGCATTCTAAATCGTAGAGTCACATGAGTCAAATGTCTACTAACCTATCTAAAATCATTTGATCTGGGTGCTAGTTAACTGCGAAACATGTCCAACCTCTTTGCTGGTTGCGAGACTCGACATGCGATATTTTTTCTTCGCGTATCCGCGGCAGTCGTCAGGAAAAAAAGCCGGCGGAGCCTCCGGCCTCCCCGGCTTGTGGAGACAGAAGCAAGGCCGGCACCAGAGAGACCAGCTCCTGGAGTCATAGCCCCCTTTAGGTATGTTTTGGTGGCTATTGAAGGTGAATCGCAAGCCCACACACCTTTTTTGAGTCATGCCCAGTTTGTGCCCGGTCCGTCGTCCATTCCCTTAGACCCTCGAGCAACAAGGGCTGTGGACATGGGCCACCAAACCTTGCTTTGGAGGGAAAGGCGCTGGGCGCAGCAGGGACGGGGACGAGCGCGGAAGAATCCCTCTCCCAACCGATAGCCCTGCCCCATTAGCCCTAAACTCTCCCTCATTTCTGCTCTTCCCCCAACATCCCCCAACTTGTTTGCGTTTCTGAACTGATGCTTGCTGTTTGGATGTCACAGTTTCTGAGGCCATGCTGGGAATCGCGCCAACTTCAATCCACCATCCAGCCTGGAAGCACAGGAGGCCTCGACGGTTCTCCCGCTCGGCCCAACTCCGCTGCCTTATCAGGGCTGTTCCCCTTCAAGTGGTCCACATCGCCTCTAAACTGGACCAGTCCAGACTCCCTGTTCACCAATGTCGTGAAATGATGTGCTGTGATCAAAGCTCCACAGGCAAGTCACGGCCATGGCTCCTTCCATTGGTGGCCACAACCCCCTAGTCACCCCAAATAGTAGAGTGCTTTGACCAACCATTGCGACATGGCCATCAAATCAAAGTGGTCTGTATAGCTAACTGCTCAACCCCAAGTTTGATAGGCCGAGGCAAGAAGTAGGAGGTGAGCGACGCAAACGTCTTGCCAGTCAGTTCAACGACCAAGGAGGAGCCTCACCTAACCGAGAAGCCTCACTACGTAACTAGTCAGTCAAACAGGTGAAAGTGCAAAGGCAGCTGGGAACATAAGTGCAGCCCGCCAGCAAACCACTTCGAGGATTGTTCTGGGATGTGCGAAGAACATTGACGCGCACAGAACATGGTAACATCCTCTGTTCTAAATCTAGTTACATGCCCCAGTGGCCCAGTCACTGGTTTCACGTCAGTTTCCTGCGCAATCAACCACATTTCTTCAAGAATCATCCACAAATCCACGCTGACAAAGATCAGCAGAAAAGATGCTCAGCCTGCGTGGTTTGCACATGCTTAGACGGCCTTAAGGCATGCTAGGCTGCGTGACAGTTTGACAGCAGCACAGTCTGTTGCAGCACGCACCGGCTTAGAACTCCCAACAAGTTGCAAGATTGACGCATTGCCCGCCTCCATCGAGCCAGCTTTCTGAACTGTTCAAAGCCGGGCCGGCGGGGAGAGGCCTAATTGGCCCAAGGCACAGCACTTTCCATGCTGAGCGTCGGCCAGAGCGCAGTAGGAGCTGCACGTTAGAAAGGCCGAGCAATCAGCCGGCTCTGCAAGCACACCTCTCACGTATGGCATCTGCACCAAGCAAGAAGTCAGCACAAAACTTCAGCAACATGTCATGGCACCTTGGCAATGAGCTGTTACGCATGTCCTCGCAGCGTGCCGGCAACCTCGCGTGCCTGAGGCACGGAAGGACGTTGGAGTGAGGCGCGACGGCTGCCCAGACTCCAGAGCGCCACCCAAGTTCTATTCGGCTCGCAAAGTCCCAACCGCACCGCAACATGAACGAAAACCAGCAACTAGTCAGCAACTAGACAGCGACTCGTCAGCAACTCGTCAGCAACTAGTGGTTTAGATTTCCAAGCGCGGAACGTTCGCGGAACGGCGGAAGGGCAGACTTTGGGAGAAGTGTTCTGACACCCTCGATATGTCTTGTTGGCGCCACAATGATGGAAGCTACAAAGACAAAGGCACAAGGCGACAAGTGCTGGGAGCCATCCCGGCGCCAAGAATTCTCTTCCGCCGCCCTTCCGCGTATCTTGTACGAACACGGTGGAAAGCACACGCCATGCAAGCCTGGAAATTCGGAATTCCACACCGAATGCATGGGTGATACTCCAACAAATGAAAACAAAACACGCTTACCTTGCTCATCAATGGCCATCTGCAACAATGGTAGGACTGCGGGAGCACGCAACTGCAAGTAGGCCCTCAAGCTAAAAGCAACTTGGGTCTTGGATTCACCTGCGGGGCACTTGCTTGAACAGTCCTCAGCTTCAATCAGCCCAACACAGTCCAACAATGGGTTTCCTGCCTGCAAACGAGTGAGCAGCGGACGGTTTTTCAGCGGCAGGATATGCGTCGCCCAAATGCCATCAAGCGGCTCGCTGTCAGCTGCGTACCTTGCTGAAAAGGTAGAGCAACAGAAACATGGACACTGCCCAATGTCCCTGCTAACGTATGCATTCTGTAGGACAAACCAGAGAGATAAAGGACTTGTCCAACACATACATGAAGGAAGCAACTCGTCACTTGGGACGGGGTTCGCCTTACCAGAGTTGCACCTCAACAAAAACACACAGCGCTTGAAGCAGAACCGCCCAACCCCCGACTCACTTGAATGGATCGCGTGACAATGTTTGTTCCTCACCAACAAGTTTCTCCCAAAATTTGAAGAAAGTCCAGAAGGCACACGCCCACCCCCTCCAAACTTCTATCTTCCAAGTCAAGGCACTGTCGAGAGTCCATTTCCCAAACTGACATGCCTCAGCTGCCATTACCAAATCTGGTCTTCAACTGTCAGCTGGCAGTGTCAATGAGCGTTGCAGACAAGGAGCCGGCTTTGTCAAACCTAAGTCCCAGTGGCAATGCGAGGCCCTGGGAGGAAACAGCACATGCCATGCTTACGTATGACTAGCTTCCTTCTGGCTTCGCCGTATAGGCATCAACCATAAAAAACAGAGAAACAAGCGCCACCCAACACTCATAGGGCTTCATTCATCTCAACCGGTGCAGGAATTCAGCCATACAAAGGACTGGCTTCGCTGGGAATCGCAAGTTCCAACACAAAAAGCACAACACAACTGTCCTGCGTGGCCCTATGCGTGCCAGGCAGCTCCCAGCGCCGCTTCCAGCCGCCACTCCTCAACTTCTCCTCCGTGGTCGCGCAGGGCTCTCGGACCTCGGCGTGGGAGTTGCAACCAGAGACTCCTTCGGTACTTTCGTGACCTTCCGTGACCTAACAGGACTGTGTGTGTGTGTGTGCGTGGCTTTGGCTTTGTCTCTTCGGCATTTTTTTTGCGAGAACAACAGCTGGGACGCCAGTTGTTTCTGCAACCTTTTGTTTCTAAGGACGCCATTCGCGGTTTACCCCCACCACCACAAGGCACACAACTCCACAAGTTGTCTTCCCTCAGAAGTCGTTTAGCGATCACAGTGAGCACCAGGGCTTGGAAGGCAGTCTCTCAAGTTACTCTTCCAATCAAAGGATCCCTGCAACCAACCACAGCAATTGCCGCTGGTCTCAGCGGGCAATTGCTGTATCGGGCCCCCGGCCCTGAGCGTCACCGGCAGCGGTGCGCGCAAGGCCGCCCAGAAGGCATCCTCGGGCATGTTGAGCTCTTGGAGGCCCATCGGCGCTCATACGGGGCCCATAGGAGGCCCATAGGAGGCTCATTGCCAGCAAAAACAGGGAGGAGACGCCAGTCCAACTGGAAACGAATTTGGTGAATTGCAGTGTGTACATGACATGCGATTGAAGTGATGCAATCTAGTATGCTGCTTCTGTCAGGGGCAGTGGCCAAGAGCCCCCCATGCAATGGCAAGCCAAAAGGAGGTTGTTTAAACAAGAGCCGTACAAACATGTAAATAAAAGCAGTTTCCCTTCAAAGGTTGATCAATTTAGTCCTGGGCTCCATTGAAACTGCAGCTTGAGGTGCAAAATAAAGGACATTTCAGGGGCACCTGAGTCTTCCCAGCCGCTTCGCAGGCAAGCCACCTGCTGCACGGCGCCCGGCTCGCCGAACAATTCCTGCGCCTCGTAGTAACCTGAAGTAAAAGCCCGCGGCACAGGGAGAGGAGAGGAGAGGAGAGGAGAGGAGAGCCAAGGAGAGGACAAGAAGACAGACAGACAAACCAGACAAAACACAAAACGCAACACAACACAATGCACCCACATACAAACCAACCAACCAACCAGCCAGCCAACCAACCAACCAGCCAGCCAACCAACCAGCCAGCCAGCCAGCCAAACCACCAAACAAATAACCACACACACACACAGACAAACCAAACAAACAAACAAACAAACAATCAAACAATCAAACAAACAAACAAACAAACAAACCAAACCAAACCAAGCCAAGCCAAACCAAACCAAGCAAGCAAGAAAACAAACGCACAAACACAACGAATCACTCACTCACTCACCTGACTCACCTCACCTCACCTCACCTCACCTCACCTCACCTCACCTCACTCAACCAATCATCTCAACTCAACTCAACTCAAAGCAATTCAAAGCAAATCTAGCAAACCAACCAATGAATGAATGAATGAATGAATCAATCAGTCAGTCAATCAATTAAAATCAAATAAACATCAACTAAGCATCAATCAATCCAATCAATCCAATCCTCCCACTGCGTCCAATCAAGCCAGTGAATGAATGAATGAATGAATGAATGAATGAATGAATGAATGAATGAATGAATGAATGAATGAATGAATGAACGAACGAACGAACAAACGGATGAATCAATCAAATCAGTCAACCAGTCAACAAGTCAACCAGTCAGTGAACCAATCAATCAATCAATCAATCAATCAATCAATCAATCAATCAATCAAATCAAATCAAATCAAATCAATAAATAAATAAATCAATCAATCAATCAATCAATCAATCAATCAATCAATCAAATCAAGCAATCAACCAATCGAATCAAATCAAGTCAAGTCAATCAACCAACCCATCAAACAAGCACAAAAGCAAGCAAACAAGCCCAACTAAACAAAGAAACAAGCATGCCACTATGCAAACAGTTTTATCAAACAAGCAAACAATCATACCAGCAATTTACCACAAAGACACACACACACACATACAAGGGTGTTTTTCAAAGTTGGGGACCCCTTCAAATGGCCGGCCGGCCAACGATTAACACTCAATATGCAGCCAAAGGCGACCACCAACCAATAGCCCACCCTACATGCCACTGTGTTGAGGCCCCACCGGCCGCTGATTCCCTTCGGCCCAAGAAGCCGCGGAAATCTTCCTCAGCTTTCAGAAGCTTGTCCTGTCGAGCCATGGATTTCTCCCTGCAAAAGGCACGCGACCTCTGCACATATAGGCGCTCCTCCGGGGCAGAGTCCAAGCCGCCTCAGCAGTAGTATGCCGAATGGGTTTCAGAAATTTGCTGCAAATCAAGCCGAGTCAAGTACTTCGAATGACAAACTTTCCAGGAATGCGGTTGGCTCGCTGCCTTTGCCGTCGGTAGCAATGCCAGTTGCCCCTGGCAACGCTGGCCGGCACACACGTCTGGCAGCCGGGTGGCGCCGCTTGTCCGAGAGCCACTGCTTCTGTGCCTACGCTTTCAGCAAGCAACATGGGCGAACTCGTTTATTCTGTCATATGCCTTTTTACTGTCTTAGAACACTGCGCACAATTTTCTGAAGAAAGATGAAGAAAGTAAAGTCCAAGGCACCGGTATGTGCAAACATACAGGAAATCACTTGAGCTTGGGGGCCAGCAGTGGAAACCGACCTCGAATGATTCTTTCCGCGGGCTTGGTGTCCAAGCTCCCCATCCAGGAATGCGAGCCTTCTTGTCTCGGCCCCGGCCACGGCGGCCCATCAGAACGAAGCCCGGGCGGCGATCCCAGACAAGCGCAGGCCATAGGCACGCAGCACCCAACCTGCCCTTGGCGATCTTGTGTTTGTTGTCTGGAGGTCATTCAAACACCCGAAGAACCAGCATTCCTTCAGATCATTGTGCATAGCGGCGCTGTTTTTTGAGATCACTGGACCCATTTAATGGTTCAACAAGTGTGGTGTTTGCTGGGTCACGCTTGGGCAGTTGGCCTTCGGCAGCAGGTTCGTTGCTTTCTTGCGTTCTTCATGGATTCCGAAGTAGATGCGTGCACTTCCTCCGGCAAATGGGCAAGAAAAGCTTGGCTTCCGGGTTTCTGGCTTGTCTGACTGCCTTCTTTGAGCTGATGTTGCCAAAGGGGCAGCATACGCAAAATCAGTGAAAGGCAAAGGTACCGTGGGTAAAGCACGCGGCATTCCCCAGTAAATGCCATTGCTGTCTTTGCCCAATTCTCTATGCGTTGTTTGATCTTCGCACTTTCCTAACTGAAATCAACGGGTCCGCGGAAGTTTCGGTCAAGTCCCGAATGTTCAGAGCTTCTGCAGCAGATGCGGATCGAACCTGGCGTGACCACACCGCTGCCAGCTGTTGTGCCGCTGGTCTTGATGGGAGCCTTAGGGCAGGTGGACTTGCATCATCCATTTATCGTTTTGTGTTGGCAGAGACAAGACCAAAAGGACCAAAAGGACCAAAAGGACCTATTCAAACAACCCTGTGACCTTGACGGGGCCGAAAGTGGTCAAGTCTCCGGTCACAAGTCACATGGTGCACTGCGGCACCCTGGGCGGTCGGCTGGAGGTGCTTGCGGCATGCGAGGCCGCACCCTGGGCCCAGCATTGCACGATTAAGAGTCTGTAGTTTCCCTTGTCGCCGAATGGTGTCCTCAAGCTTGGTTTTTGCCTTGCTTCCTTCGTCTGCCTGTAATTAGCCCGTGCCTATACTTGTGGCCATGCAAGAACGCGCGATTTGTTTCTGATCAAGGACATGGGCATGGAGCGGTGCAAACAGCCCTTTTAACCACAATTCATCTGTTTGGCTCAGCCGTGAAATCCAGAGCATGCGCGTGATGCAAGGATCAACCGGGTGGAGTTACCAGGGTGCCGTTTTACTTTGGATGGTTAATTTCAGCCTTGCCTGGGGCAAGCCTCCTGCCCGAATGCAACTTTGCTTGATTGCACTGAGTTCCGCTCGCAGTAACTTCTCCCGGCAATGCCAGCCTTTGGCAGCATCTGCATGAATGATCACTTCCCTCTCAAAAAATAAAAAACAAAACAGTCTGTCTCAAGCCTGGGGACCATGCACTCAGCCATCCGAGGCACCACCCAACCCTCACAATGGGCATGTGTCAACATAGGAGGGCCAAACATCGTGGTTTTCCTCGTTTCCTTTTGGTTTCCTTTGAAGCGACCCCGAAAAGGGCGTCGAGCCTCAAAACCACACGCACGCAAACGCACACACTTCATTCGCCTGACTCCCACCAGCGAAATGCAGCTCGCAGGTCTCAGCCCCGTGCGTGGTGGACGACGGCCTACGCCAGCGAGTGGCGCTGAGCCGTACGCGTGACTCGACCCAAAGGCGTTTGCTTCAACTGGAGCCGATTTGGCGGCTTAGATGCTGGTCGGTTGGACAAATGACAAAATATGTCAGAGGGAAACAATCAACAATGGCTAAGGCTGTGAATGATGGTTTGCAGCTTAAGCCAACCAAGTTCTGCAGGAACACCAGCCCCCACTTGCGCTGCTCAGGATGCACCTGGCTGCACCTCTCGTCTGCACCCCTCTGAGCTCCTCAGAAAGTCGGGGATCTTGTGGCACCCCACGTCAAAGGACTATTCATGCCCAGAAAATCCACGCAAAACCGGATCCGATAGGAACACAACGGCGCACTAAGTCGCAAGCGTTGTCGGCCAAGTCTAATCGCAGCTTCCGGCCTTGGCCACCCGACGTGCGGAACGGAGATGACCAAGCCCTGACGCGCTGGGGTGGCGGCCATTGCACTCCTTCTCGCTGAGTATCTTGATTGCGTTGATTGCCGTGTCCGGATCCTGCAGGAATCGCTTTACTAGTTGATGACTCTGCCTGCTCAGCATGCCACAAGCTTCACACTGCCCATATCCCAGCCTTCTGCACGGGACACGTTGGAACATCGCTTGCTTTCTTTTCTGCTTAAGCAACTTAAGCAACGGCCCAAGAGGAAACTCACCTAAAACAATGCATTTGTTGTGGCTCAGCACCCTTTTTTTGGAGGTGGTTTTGATGGAAACCAAAGGGAACTCGGTAAGCCCCGGTCCGAGAAGTCGCAAAAGCCGTAGCCCTTCGGCTGAAGCGTCTCCTGGCTGCAAAGGACCTATAATTGAAACAACTGCACAAGGACCCAAGGTTTGCAGTACTTCTTTGATGTGTCTAATATGCTCGAATGATTTTTGCATGGGTTGGTTTTGACCAGCATCACACCCGATCCTGACTTTCTCCTTCGACATGCCTCGACTGATTCCATGCTTCAGCTCCCATGTTTGCACATGCATCCAAGCTAGGTTCCGTTTGGGCCCTCTTTTCAAAAGTGCGGATTTCCCATAATACGGATGATCGTGTGGACAAAGGTTTCAGAGCAAGTCAAACGGCATCACGCGAACAGTCCTTGTCGAAGACCATTCGGAACGACTCCACCTGCAACAGCAAGGCGCAGCTGAAACTACTTTGGTCCATCCATGAGTGATAGCACATAAACTCATGCGCATCAACTGACACAGAGCCACAACCTAAGCAAACTATAGACTTCGATGGGCTTGGTTCGGTGATGCCGCTGTGATGGCGGCAGAGCACACCTGTTCAAGGTGTCTCTGGGGAGAATGACCCCTTGTTGCTACGGCTCGTCGCTTGCAACGGCCGGGTTGTCTACGTATGGCACCCTCGCCTTTCCACCAAGCATCAAGTGGGCGCGCACGTCCTCAAGTGGACAAGCGGCTCTTCAAGGCGCAAACACATCTCCATGCTCGTGCACTGGGTTGCCACACTTGCATTTGTACCCTGGCCCAGGCCCCTCCATGCCCATATGCTGGAGCCAGGGTTGCAGTTTCTGGCCATGCTGAAGAACTACCACAGCCAGGCTCGCAAGCTGAGCAAGATTGAGCTCCGGTCATCTTCCGTCGCATCGTATGGAATGTTGCCGACCTTGCTTGCGCTGAGGGATCAAATCCAAACAGGGCTGATCCCAACTAAACCACGAACCGAAACACTAAACAGTGAACCCTAAACCTAAAGCACACATCCAAATGCTGAGTCCTCAATACAACCCAACTGTAACATTGGCGCAAAGTGCGGGGATCCTTCCAATGTGAAGCGTCTCCCTACGGGGCAAGTTTTCGGAAATTCACGCATCCTGGACGATGAACAGCTCTTAAAGCCTCATAAGCTTCTTTGCCAGCTTTTCTGGGACAAGCTTCGCACACTTAGCGGAATCCTACACTTTTTAAGGCCCAAGCATTTTTGCAATCAGGCAGTTCAAAAACAACCATCCTGTATCGAATTGGTTTGGCTGGAAAAACCGGGAATGGAGAAAGGAACGCGAACATGGATACTAGGCTGGGGCAACCCGTTACCAGAGAGGGCAGCACGCAGCACTCATGCTTGGTTCGCCCGCAAGGGGAAGGGGAGGAGGCGGGGTTACTGTTATGGGCCCCAATTCCATGCTTCGTCTGCCCCCAAAAAGGCCCAATGGAATGCTACATGAATTCCGCGAGTCACCCCTCCCCCAGCTTGAACAGATTTACACGATGTCAGGCAAAGCAGAACAAAAGGTGTCACCTGCCCCTGATCCACACTACGCGTTTGAAGCTAGCAGATACAAGAAGTGCTATATTCTATATATATATATATATGTATATATGAATATATGTGTGCATATCGGAGTAATGTTGGATGAGGCAATTAAAACAAGTGTTTCCACGATTGTTCCCCACCCTGAAAGGAGAAGGGGGAGGAAATTCAGAAGCTTTCGTTCGGTGGAGGAAACTTTTGTCTGCTCGTCCGTGGGTAAGCGAGAAAAAAATCCCGAACCCTGGCACCACTAAACTGTTTAATACTCAGGTAAAACTAACCAGGACTAAACCAATGCCAGCTAAACTAAGCCAAACCTGAGCCAGCAACACCAACTGAGGCCCCCAAGCCGCCAAATTCTGCATGGCACACTTTACTAAATCAGCTGCCAAAACCAATGCTCAAGGGGGTGGTACCGGGAAGCTCCACACAGTTTATACTAATAAATGTTCAAGGAGAGAAACTAGAGACAAGAAAAGTGTCTGGGTCAAAAACTACTTAACCACAATTCCAAACACTACGGCGCCAGCTCAAACGAATACAAAAACAACTCGAAACCAGTACACTAAGCAGCACTTTCTGACAGACACTTGAGTAGCCCCAACTCTGACCCCAGTCTGTTTGAGGAGGGCCAACTCTGACCCCAGTCTGTTTGAGGAGGGCCTCTACTAAAATCACTACCCAACATAGGACCATCGGGCACTGCTCAATTTGGTTTGGCCAATGCTTTCGTGCTGCAGGAAGCTTTGCGGCAAATGGTGGTTTTGCAGCCGCACGGCCATCCAGTGGCAATGTGGCCATACTGAATTCAAAGGGGCAGGTAAGCCATGAACACCCTGCCCTTGTTGCATGACTCGATCCCGCTTCATAAACTCAAAGAGTGCACAATGCCGCCTGTAATCTCTCGAGACAGCTGCAGCTAACGGCATTGAGACACCGGCAAACACTGTGGCAGTCTTGCCGGGGGTCGCCCTCTCAACAATGGCCATGGCTAAGGATGCTCGTGGCAGGTCAAACTGTGCAATCTGAAGTGGCTGATGCTTCATGTGCATGTGCGAACTTGCTTCTGTTCTTGACTGAAAGTGCGGGCAGAAATGCCATCAGTTGGTGCATTCTCTCTCCTTTGCTCTTTTCAGCCTACTCTAGCACTTTTAACATCCTGTAAGAATGAACGGCCGCCAGCAAAGCGAGACATGCACCTGGCGCCTGGCTTAGTGGAGCACACTCGCAACGCATTTGTCTCCAAAGTCGAACGCATGCGCCCAAACGTAGACTCTGGCCCTCGCGCTTATGAAGCCAGTGCAAGTTGCGACAAAAAGCTGCAACTGGGTAACGTAAGGGTCAGCAAACGCCTGCTTTGCCCTGGCTGCCTTTTGAAAATGAAATCACCTTCGGCATGTCCTTTCTTTGAAACTTTGGGCCAATTACATCTTCTACAGCCGGAAGAGCGGTGCAGCATAGCATTGTGACGCCCCCTATATTCCAAAGTTGCCTTCGCAGAACCTGTTTGCAAGCAGTCTAGGCACGTTTCAGCAAAATATGCCTGCATGCATTTCTTGCATTGTTGCGGATGTTGCGCGGACCCAATGGCACCTTCATTGTGGCAACTCTTGTTCTTTAAAGGTCTGCCACACAGCCGCTAGGGGCTGCAAAGCAACGCCTGTAATGATGCATCTCAATAGTTGCCTTTTCGCAGGCTCTTTAGTTGGGCAACGTTTTTGCCCAGCAACATTGCCTACTTTGAACCTCGTGCACTGGGATGGCTAGAAACGCATGCGGGTGCTTTTGGATGCAAGGGTCCATGATTTTGGGAAACGCCCATGTGATTATCTGTGGCCTGCGACGTGCCCAGAAGGTGCCTTTTTGACGAAACGCTGAGGACTTGGTCAGGTCTGCTGAGCGCCTTCGACCGATACGTCCCAGTGCTGGAGGAGCCTCCAGCAACGGCAATGGCTCCGCACAAAAGTCTGTGGCTACGTATCTAGCAGCTTCGCGAATCCGTCCGGCACTCTTGGCGGGACATGTTTTTGGCATAAATCGAGCCTACCTGCACACGTCAGGGATAAACCCAATTCATCTGGATTCGAATGTCGAACATGGTCCACATGTTGCTTCCCTTCAGACCACTCAAACCTCAAACTTGTTAGCTGAGGTCCCTACTCGTGCACAAGCTCCATTACTAAGGCCTATGTGGCCACAGGCGGTCTAATTTTGTATTTGCATGTAGGCACCGACGCACGTTTGATCATGTAAGATAACAACACATGACAACACACAAGCAATGACAGGAAAACGGATTGGTGCTCGCCAAGTCTTGGCTCATGAAAAACGATTATTGCGAAAGTAGGAGCTGCTCACTTGTTGCATCTGCCGCCTAACGCCGCAAACGGCCCTTGTGCTGTATCTCAGTCAGGTTAGCGTAGGGCCTGCCAGGGCTTGCTGGCCAGCTAGCCAGCTGCACTGAATCAATGAAGCAGTGCCAAGCCGCATGTCGTTGCGGAGCCTTTCCGGCGGCAAGAAACACTTGTGCTACATGTCCGCCACAAATCGACTCTTTCTAAGTGAGCATTGGGCTCTCACCCAGGCCCTATCAGCTAGCCCCCAAAAAAGCAAGCGCTTAGGTCACGCTGGTTTGAGCTGACTGGCTGGAACAAGTTCTCAAAGTGCTTGGCTGCTTGGCCTGTGGCTAGAACGGGGAATCGCCTTGTGCCGCCTTTTCAGGGCCAAACTGGGGACCTGCCATCAGGGTGCTTCACCTCTCAGATCAGATCCCCGCCTGAGAACTCCCAGTTCCGCCTGGGCTCGAGGGAAGGAACCGAGTCGTTCCCAATTCACTAGACTTAGTTCAAACTTGCTCAAAAGGTGTTGCGCAAAACCCCCAAATTGGGAAATATGTGTGGGCCCCCGTGGAACTGAAACCTCTGCCGAACACATCGCACAACAAATCAGTGAGTGGGGGATTTTAGCCATGGTCAGTGTCACATCGTGGATGTAAGCAGCCTGACTACAAAAAACTACTGTATCAGGGATTGCCAGGAAACATCTTGTTCCCTGTTCGCCATGAGTAGGCTTCAGCTGAAGCAAGGTGACGCACTGAGCGCCGTCAGAATCAAACATTTGCGCCGATGCTTTGCATTCACTTCCCCACCCCTACAAGTGCCTGAAAGTCATGCAGGTCCCGAAACCATGGAAATTGTAAGACACAAAACGTGGACCACCTCCCTATACATTACTTTCAGGGTGGCACTGCATCGATACCGCATTCTTGTCAGGGCTCCTTTGTCTGTTTTTTGAAAGCCACCAAGAACAGGGAAGGCGGCTGGCTGGGTTTTATTCAAAAGAACAATGGTTGAAAAGAATGGAACCAACCCCTAGAAAATTGCACACTTCTTCACCTCGCGTCGCCAGTTGTGTGCTTCACGGGTGCTCTGTACAGCCCATAGTTTGAGCTAGGCCGGACATGGCTGGAGAGCAGTAGGAACTCCAGCCAAGCTGAGTGAAGTAATCATCTGGGTGGCTTGAGGGAGTGCAAACAGAACAAATGAGTGTCTCACAAAAACCGCTTTGGCTGGTATTTAAAGGTGAGCCACAGGGAATCTTGAGAAACCATCGAAGGAACACCTCTTGGCTGAAACTCCAAACATCCACTCACTCAGCATCCAAGAAGAGATGTGCACAGCTGCAGTCAATCGCAGGCCAACACAGAAGCTAGCATGCACTCAATTTCAGCAGTTCGAAAATAGTTCGAAGCTGTCCATTCCCCCGCTGTCCCTTGAAGTGCCAGCCGAAAGGTTGAACGGCAGTGGCGGAGGCGAGGCTTATGGTCAGGAGGCGATGTGGCCGCCCCTCCTCATCATGCGATACAAACGTGGATGGATTGCTCAAATACAGTGGGTGTGGAGTAATGCCGGGACACACACTAACATATCATCTTTACTTCGGGTCCCAATAAACAATTAATTCACATGTTTGTTGTGACATGCAGTTCACGTTCCGTTGCGGTTCAAAGACACTCATGTCTACAGTGTGGATTGAGCGCGCACTTAGAGATATAGAGCCCTGCTGACGGCAGAAAGCTCCCATCATCATAATTCAGCCGTTTGCCAGAGCAGCATGCCACTAGAGTCTGAAGCTAATCACGATCTTTTGCTGTCCCTCAACCGTCATGTTGCGAGGTGGAATTGGTTCTGCAGGGCCTTCATGACTGGTCTCTGATGTTTTTCAAGCCAATTTATCCTTTTGCCAAGCTGGCCTGGAAATGGATATCTCCACATCTGGGTCTGCTTGTTGGTAATGTCAAGGGACGAGGAAACATACTACAACACATGCGATAACTTAAGCCGACTCCTTCCTGCGTTGCCAGCTAGCTGCTCCCGTGCTGCCAAGTCTCGCACATTCACTGGAGCCGTGCGTGCTGGCAAGGTTGTACCAGCTTCTCAAGATGCTCGCAAGCACTTCTTTCGTCTCAGCCTTGCGAAGTACAGATCTGCCTGAAAAATCCCAGCAACGCCCAGAAACAGCCAAATCTTGAGTGGCAGGTCTAGGGTCATCCCGGCATATCCTCTTCAACGAACAGTGGCGTGCAAATTCAGCAACGAGACGCAGAGTTGACCCCTTAATGCCATAGACCTCTCTCTTTCATTTGTTGATAGCTTTTTTTAAAATGGCGGCGCAACGAAGACCTCCCCTTTTCGGAGCGTTTGACACGGCCTTGCACTGTTGCTCCGAGACGTCCAGCTCCGCAAAGTTGAAGGCAAAGTCGGAGGCCTCGAGTTGGCTGAGTTGGTCGAACTTCAGGTCCTCCCCCCCCCCCGGACCTTGTCGATCCCGTATCAGGCCGGTGGATCGTTGAATGGAAGAGGGGGTAGGGTGGCGCGGGTGGGGTCTCCCCAAAAAACAAGGATCCCTTCTAAGAGGGGGCACCCCTCTATCTTGGGTTCCCCTATCATGATGCCAGGTAACTAAGGGGCTCCAAAGGAACTTTCGGACCCTTCAAACCAACACAAAGGGGAACCTCAATTTCCCAACGACTTAAGATAAGTGGGTGCATCAAAACCAACAGAGTCCTCGCCCAACTCCGAACCCCTAGCCTGGGGCCGGAAGTGGTCTTCGGGCCAATTCTCCGGGCCTCGGCATGGAGCTGCAAACGGCCCTTCCTGGTTGGCGTACGGATCGCGTGCAAGAAAGAATCATGTGTACCCGAATTCATGCCGTGTCTGTTTGGTTAGGGGCTTTCACCTGACGTTCGGCGCTTCTTGGTCTGGCGCTCTTCTTCAAACCTTGGTTGAACAAACCAGGGACACGGCTTGTACAAAGCTGGCCGCGGGGGTCTGCAGTTGCCGGTGTTTGCTTAGGATGGCATCCAGTTTGGGGAGGCGAGGTACCATCCGCTAAGGTCTGGGCACAGCTCCATGTCCTCTACTTCGTCTGCGGTCTCAACGGACACCTGCGTCGCGCAGAAAGGAGCCACAGGCATGATCGCACAGGTGCGCTTTCCATCTACGCGTTTCACCTTGGTTTAAGCGGAAACCACCGGTCTGAGGGCTCCCCGATTTTCACATACTCACGCGACTCGCAAATGCTTTCAACAATCTGCTTGCCTTTCGAAAACAACGTCCCTTCCATTGCAGTCAGCTTCCTGCCCCTCATTTGCAGCACACCGATGCCGGGTTGTTGTTTCAGTATGATCGCACGGAATTCATACCATCTGTCCCGTCATCCAAACATAATGGGGTACACAAAATCCCACTAGAAAAAAACAGTGCCCCAGCCTGTTCTCCTAGGTGTGTATGTGATGTATCATGTGTTAGGCACCTACAAGCAAGTCCAGCCACCTCTCTTTCATATTTGGAAACACCTGGGTTGCCGGGATTCAAGTAGGGGGTCTGGCAGAAATGCAGAATACCCATGGCCTCTTGGTTTCGGGGAGTTCATCTGGGTGCTGCATAGGCTGTACTAACGCACAACAAAACAAACACTGCCAAAGACTTGCAAGTGGGGGTCATATACCGTGCTGCGAATTACTTAATTTGGTTTGACTGTCCTCCCAGACCTCCAGTGGCCATGTCAAAAAAAGAAAACTCCTTTGTCGCTAAGTCCAAAGGGGGCCCCCTCCGTCTAAACGGGGAAAACAAAAACGGACATGCCAACAGGCCGGGCCTCGCGGGAAGGCGGCCTGCGCTCGCCTGCCATGGACCGCACCAGGCGCAGCTTCTCACCTGAACTGGGCCCAGCGAGTTTCCCAGTTGCACGGAGGCGGGAAAAAGGCACAAACTTTTTGGGGTTGACGCAAACACAATTTGTGGCCGGGGAAAAAGGGTGCTGAACCATTTGGCGTTGGTTGCTGTTGAAACAGCCTTGCGTTGGGAGGGTCTCTTCCCTGAACAGCGGACGATGGATCAACCCTGGCAAGGGAACAGTCAACAGCGAAAGCTCGAATTTTTGAATGAACAACGATGAGGATGTCAACTAGAACCCTAGCTTGAATGTTCCGCTGTGATTTCGAACAGTCGTGGGTTCAACTGTGACAGTGGCAAATGCAAAAGGCACGCTCAAACTGATCCGATGCAAGAATCAGAAAGGTGAACCAAACAGGTTTGGTCTTTACAATGCTCTCAGGCATCTCCACTCATGAGGACGCAACCGCAAGCCCAAGTACAGGATGTTGCTTCTGCTTTGCGTTCCTCGTGCTCATTGCGGATGTGGTGGTGGGTGCAAACATGTGATAGAGTGTTGGTTTTGGGTTTTGGGCTTTGGGTCGGCTGCCCCAAGCGAAAGGCACCACCGGCTGTGTGGCCCAAGCAAGCTGCAGGTCGTGCTGTAGACAGCCTACGGCAAGTCAGAAATTCTGCTACCACATATTCCACGAGAACCCATAAGCAAGCATCGCTGTTGGGCGAAGGTCCTCTAAAATCATGTTGCAGCACGGACGGTGCCAAGCCACGCAGGACACAGGTCTTCCACACGGCTTCCGCCTGCGCTGGCCGTGAGGCAGATACGTTTGCATTGGTGGTTTCCCAGTTACCTGTTCAAATATTCAATTTATGTTTGCAAACTGTGAAGGGCTCCCTGTCCACCTGGGGTGAATTAGACAAATGAAGTAATGGCATGCCAAGATCGGATATTTCATCATGGATGAGGCTGCAGCACTTGGTCTGTCAGGCGCTTGTAAACTGCCCAAAGTCAAGGGCGTTCTTCAAAAGCGCGGCGGCACAGTGTGCTCCATGGGCAACACGCTCTGTGTTGCAAAGGGTCGTGTTAGTGATGGGATTAAGTCACAGCATGTCGGCTGGAGTCGCTGCAAACACTTGGCCAAAAGTTGATTTGCGTCACAGCAGTAGTGCGGTTCAAGCCTGCATCTCGATGGCACACGCTTCTACAAAAAGAAAGGCCGAGATGGATTACACCGGCAAATCCTAAGTATGCTCTCACACAATCACAAGTGTGAGCTTCAAACCAGGATCCCCATGGCACAAGCTCAAATCCAACGACCTGACACAGCAAGCTATGACCCCACCAAAGGATGCAGTTGTTCCCTGAATGGAAGCATAGCCTTCTATCGGAGAGCGTTCTCCCCAAAATCCATGTTTGAAAAGCAATGCCAAACCTCATGAGAAACAAAGATGAAGAAACCTAGGCGCAAAACAGAGGCACACACCTCTTCAGATCTGGTGCCTCCGCTCGTCCAGGCCCCATCTCCTTCAGTAACTGCACCGCGGAAATGTAGGCGTTCCTTGGCGCAAAAAATGGCATCAACACCAATGAGACTGCTAATGACCATTTTCATTTAAAAGTCCCAAGGGTATCCAAGGGACCTGTGACACATTCTCATGTCTAATGTCTTTGCCTTGTCTTGACCTCCTGCAAATCAGGCCCAGCTTCTCCTCCTCCTCCAGCTGGTAGAGCTCTTTCTGAGGGCTATTGCGAGGGGAGAGGTCGTAGGCACCTGCGCACAGCGCATCGGATAGCCCCCCCCTTTTCCCTCCCTCCAACACCACCTAAACCCCAAAAAGGACCCATTTCAACGGCCTGCAAGAAAGTGGCAAGGCAGAAAAGAGGAGTCCGGAAGCCCTTCGTGCCGTGCCTTTGGAGGGCTGCCAGTCTGCGAACTCCGCCTCGATGGCCTGTGATAGAGGTTGATGTTGAAAATCTCGCGGGCTGGTGCAGGGGGAGACCAAAAGGACAACCACCGTTTTTTTTTGGGGGGGTCCGTGTTTTGACACAAGCTGTTTGGAAACAAGTCCGTCTAAAGGGCAGAGTGATTGCAGCATATGGGCGCGCCGTTTGCAATTTGCTTGGCGTTGTTTTGCGCGGAAGTGAAAGGGACCCTTGTCTGGTGGGTATGTCAACTCAGCCCCTACAGGCGGCATGGATATGTGTCGAACTATGGGGACTTCTTGAAATTTTATGGTGGTGTTTCCCTTTAAATCCACCTGGAGCGGGTAACTACCAAAACAAATAAACAAACAACCAAACAAACAAAAAAGACGGACTGGCAGAACGACAAATGCGCACACACACAGAGACAAACACACAGACACAGACTCAGACACAAACGCAAACACCCGCGCACACACACACACGCACACGCACACACGCACACACGCACACACGCACACACGCACACACGCGCACACGCGCACACACGCGCACACACGCGCACACACGCGCACACACGCGCACACACGCGCACACACGCGCACACACGCGCACACACGCGCACACACGCGCACACACGCGCACACACGCGCACACACGCGCACACACGCACACACACGGACACACACACGCACACACACACGCACGCACACGCACACGCACACGCACGCACACGCACACGCACACGCACACGCACACGCACACGCACACGCACACGCACACGCACACGCACACGCGCACACGCACGCCACACACGCACGCACGCACAGCGCGCCGCGCACCGCACACACCACACCACCACCACCACCACCCCACACCACCCACCCCACCCACCCACCCATCCACCCACCCCACCCCCACCACCCAACCACCCACCCACCCACCCACCCACCACCCACCACCACACCACCCACCACACCCCACACCACCCACCACCACACCCACCACCACCACACCACACCACCACCACCCACCACCCACCACCCACACACCACACACACCACGCGCCGCACGCACGCACGCACACACGCACGCACGCACGCAGGCACGCACGCACGCACGCACGCACGCACGCACGCACGCACGCACGCACGCACGCACGCACGCACGCACGCACGCACGCACGCACGCACGCACGCACGCACGCACGCACGCACGCACGCATCGCACGCACGCACGCACGCACGCACGCACGCACGCACGCACGCACGCACGCACGCACGCACGCACGCACGCACGCACGCACGCACGCACGCACGCACGCACGCACGCACGCACGCACGCACGCACGCACGCACGCACCCACACACACACACACACGCAAAAACGAGTGAGCAAATGAGGGAACAAACAAACAAACAAAAAATACATAAACAAACAAACAAACGAACCCCAACAACCAAACAAAACAAGCAAACAAACAAACAAACAAACAAACAAGCAAACACAAGCAAGCAGACACAAATAACCAACCAACCAACCAGCCAACCAACCAAACAAACAGAAAGCAAACAAAACCAACAACCAAACCAACCCACACCAACCACATCAAGCCAGACAAATAACCAAGGCAAAGAAACCAAACCAAACAGAAACCAGCTCATGTTACAACCGAGCAAAACGAACAACACGACCAAATAACAAAGCAGCTAAGCCACCAAGCAACCAACGAACCAACCAAATAATCAAACAAGCAACAACGAAAGAAACAACAACCACAGAACAAAATAAAGAAGGAAAGCAAGAAAGAAGGAAAGAAAGAAAGAAAGAAAGAAAGAAAGGAAAAGAAAGAAAAAAGAAAGAAAGAAAGAAAAATAAAGACAGAAAGAAGGAAAGAAGGAAAGAAAGAAAGAAAGAAAGAAAGAAAGAAAGAAAGAAAGAAAGAAAGAAAGACAGAAAGAAAGAAAGAAAGAAAGAAAGACAGACAGAAAGAAAGAAAGAAAGAAAGAAATAAACACAAAAAGGAAAAAAGAAAAGAAAGAAAGAAACACAAACATGAAAACAAGAAAAGAAAGAAAGACAGAAAGAAAGAAAGAAAGAAAGAAAGACAGAAAGAAAGAAAGAAAGAAACACAAAAAGGAAAAAAAAGAAAAGAAAGAAAGAAAGAAGGAAACAAATAAAGAAAGAAACACAAAAAGGAAAAAAAGAAAAGAAAGAAACAAAGAAATAAAGAAACAACTACAAGAACATACATAGAGAAAGAAATAACGAAAAGAACGAAGAAAGAAAATAAATAAAAACAAAAAACATAAAGAAACAAATAAATAAATAAATAAATAAATAAATAAATAAAGACAGAAAGAAAATAACAAAAGAACAAAAAACCGACATAAAGAAAGAAATTAATAAATATAAACCAAGAAAGAAATAAAGCAAGACGGCACGCAAACAAGTCGGCAAGCAAACACACGCACAAGCAAACACACACTCACACACACACACTCACACACACACACACACACTCAGTCATAGGCCCCACGGCGCCGCCAACTGCCAGCTTTCTGCCGCCGAGGGGCGAACATGTCCGGCTGGTGGCGGCGCGGGGTTAAGGCGAACTCGTCCGGCTCGTCGGAGTCCTCGAAACACCCCGGGCCTGGCACGGCACATTGGATGTTCTCGGCAGGTTGTAAGGGTTATAACTGGCAACCCGTGCAAAAGGGACTTACCCCAGTTACCCCAGTTGTAGCCATGGCTGCAACTTACTGAGTTGGTTGAACACCCAAGAATGGGAACAACATTGAAGCGTGTAGCCTAGTGGACCGTGAAGGGGAGGTTAGAGCAAAGGAAGCCCGCACCCGTTCACCCACTCATAGAACCTGAAAGAGGGTGGGCCGCTGGAAGACCAGCTTCTAGAAGACACCCTCTTTAGGGGCCATGTTTGTTTTGAGGGAAATGTATGCAGAATACTTGAACCCACAAACCAGAAATTGGGAATCCCCAAGAAAAGCACCTGTTGGTAGGGCCTTAAAATACGGATGGTAGTCTTTCAACCCCTCCTGCCCACTACTGTGGGAACGCGGGTTCAACCGTGCCTATTCATCTGCAGGGTTGATTGATCCGGGGACAACGCTGTTCGCCCAGTGGCTCTTGGGGAAAAAGCGACCCTTTCCGGGCTTGTGCATTTTCAAGTGGGCGGCAAGCTGCCGGGTCAATTGCAGCCATCAGGCAACTTCGGTGCCCGCCTTCTCGCCACCAGCGAGACAGCTCCCATTCCTCCTCCGACATGAGGCACTTTGGCCTATGTCGCGCTGCCATCCGCCCTTTTTGGTGCAGCCTTGCTGGCCCGGACCTATGACCAATACCCTTCTCATGACTCGGATGTTGCCGCAGGCGCCCGTTGCGCAATCTGTTCTTTGCTTTTCAGCCGCAATGCTGTGAGCAACGAACCCGCGTCGGGCACTCATACGACGACGTCTTCCGGCCCAGAAACCGACGTTCTTCCGGGGCCGGTGCCCACGCAGGCCCCCTGGCAGGTTCGCCTTCTCAAGTGTCAACCCTCCAAACATTGACAAAGCCCAGAGGTTCTCCGCACCTGAGACTGACCCCTCACCAAAATGAGGCGGATGGATGGCTCAAGCATGTGGCCTTGATGTACTTATCCTGTATATACCTATTTCGCACTGTAGGCCTAAGTCGCCTTTTGCACAACTTGTGTTTTCCGTCTGGGGAACACAAAGGGCCACTCTGAGAACAGCTACCGTCAACTATCAGAAGTGAGTCCCTTCAAGTGACATACACAAATCACCCTAAAAATGCGATAGAGAGGGGACCAGCAAGGCAACCTGGAAAGCCCTACAAATTTTAAACTGGGGTGCATGTGTTTGTGGCTCAGGGCCGTTTAAAAAGCGCAATCACAATGCATTTTAGGGGAGGTGCCTGTTTCGACACACCCCCATATGGGTCTAAGATGGTTTCCAACTACCCGCAACCAAACCGGGAAAACCGGGTACATACCCTTTACACTGAGTGGTTGGTCTAGCCATCTCGGACTGAGTCCGAGGCTAATGGCAAGACCTCGAGGATTGGGCCCTCGGGGCTCTGCCTCGCCAGGTGCAGGTCCCAGCCGTTGTGGCACATGGCCCTGACGCGCCACGGCGCGTCAATCGGAGTCAGCGAGCCCGGGGGTCTGAGGAGTGGTTCGGATGGGTGGCCAGGAGGTTACCCTCTGCAAGAAACAGGGGTTCAAATCCCCAAGCCTATCCAAAACAGCAATCAGGGCAAACTGATCTGGGGCATGAATAGATATTCCAATTTTGGGCCTTTGGGATCCGTTTCTAATTTATACCGGCATTGATGTTCTGTTTCAAAACGACGTGACTTGGCCTAAGTTGTTGGGTGTCAAGGAGAATATTTAAAGAAATCCGGCGCCTACCATACAAACAACAACAGTTTGCAAAGCCGGGGAAACCAGGACTCCCCCGCTACTTTGCGATGTCTGCAGAGAGTGACATGAATAGGGATTCGGTGAACGCTGGAGTCATGCTCTGGAACTTGCAGTCAATGCGAGAGTCATACCCATCGTTCTTGGACTTTTTCGTGAAAGTGATGATATCACCTGGCCAATGGGACCTGGCGAGCAAGGTGCCTTGAGAACCTTCTACAAGCGTGATCAGGGCCCTTCCTATTTGCCTTATGAGTTAAACTAGCTGTTTTGGTGCGCTTCCATGGTCCGAAGTGTGAACTTGACATTTTGCCCTATCTCAAAGATGGTCATATCAGCGTCCCCCTTTTCAAGTTTTTGCCGCTAAGATGTGGTCAAGATGGGGATTGCTCGAAGCTTTGCAATCTATACATGCAATATTTACCGCTTGAATTGTGGAGTATTTCGGACCCGATCATCTTACTTTGGAAATTTGCGCAGAACAAATGGATAGCATTTGGCTGACTCGAATTGTTGCTTGCGTCCCGTGATGCTTGTAGTTACCAGATGCATACTGTAGAGCCTCCGGCTCACTCCGCCGACATTGGCCTTTTCTCCTTTTTCCTCTCTCTTTTGTCTCCCTTCCCCCCTCATCTCTCTCCCTCTCTCTCTCTGTGTCTCTCTCTCTCTGTGTCTCTCTCTCTCTCTCTCTCTCTCTCCCTCTCTCTCTCTCTCTCTCCCCCTCTCCCCCTCCTCTCTCCCCCCCTCCTCTCTCTACCTCTCTATGTCCCTCCCTCTCTCTAATCAAACCCTTGTCATAATGTCCAAACCCATGATTCCAACACAGTAAGCCCTGAACAACCTCCAAGCCTGAAACGCCAATCCGTGCCTCCTCGACCCTAAACAACCCCAGGAACCCCAAAATCTGCCAGAACCATCCTCAATTGTGAAAACACAAACTCTCAAACCCTGCAGTGCATTGGGAAATGGGGTCTGAAATTCGCCACACGCTTCTAAGCTTCTAAGCCTCTAAGCCCCTTGAAGCACACAAGCCTCTAAGCCTCCAAGCCTCTAAGCTTGTAAGCCTTTGCAGTCCTTGCGCCTCTAGGCCTGCGCGCTCCTAAGCCTCTAAGCCTCTAAGCCTCCAAGCCTTCCAGCCTCCACGCCCCTAAGCCTCTAAGCCTCTAAGCCTCCAAGCCTTCCAGCCTCCACGCCCCTAAGCCTCTAAGCCTCCAAGCCTTCCAGCCTCCACGCCCCTAAGCCCCTAAGCCTCTAAGCCTCTAAGCCTCCAAACGCTTAGAGGCTTAGGCGCTTAGAGGCTTAGGCGCTCAGAGGCTTTGGCGCTTAGCGGCTTCGGCGCTCAGCGGCTTCGGCGCCTAGCAGCTTCGGCGCTTAGCGGCTTAGGCGCTTAGAGGCTTAGGCGCTTGGAGGCAAAGGCGCTAGAGGCTTAGGCGCTTAGAGGCTTAGGCGCTTAGCGCTTAGGCGCTTAGAGGTTTACGCGCTTAGAGGCTTAGGCGCTTAGAGGCTTAGGCGCTTAGAGGCTTAGGCGCTCAGAGGCTTTGGCGCTCAGAGGCTTTGGCGCTTAGCGGCTTCGGCGCTCAGCGGCTTCGGCGCCTAGCAGCTTCGGCGCTTTGCGACTTAGGCGCTTAGAGGCTTAGGCTTGGAGGCAAAGGCGCTACGGTCGGGCATTATGTTAAGAAATTTTATGAACTAAGAAATCCAGACCTCTGGAAAGCCGGGCATTTCTTAAATTAAGAAATCCAGACCCCCGCCGCCGAAAAATTGGATATGTTGCATATTGTCTACCTATGAAACTGCTGGTCGGAAACAGCCTGTGGAAATGGAATCTATAAGCCTTTGTCCATCCAGCCCCGTAAAAAAGAGCATCTGGGGCGGGACGTGGCGTAAGCGCACGCAACCCGCCCCAGACTTGTCCGCTTGCCAGCCGCCAACAGGTCCGGCCAGCCACCTGCGACAATTGGCCCAGACCTCTTTCTGCTCCCCAAACCCCTCGAATTCATTCGAATTCTCCATGATTAGGGACGGGTGGTCATTTTTAACAAGACTGGAATAAGGTTGTCTGGGACAATTATTCTCACCCAAGTGGACCGCAACAATTACCAAAACGAACCCCGATGAGAAAAACATATCTGTGACAGGTGGGCCAATACTGATGGGCTGGCCTTCAAAACCAGCCAGCTCGAAAGCGACAGAAATCGAAACTGCAATTGCACAAGAAGCCCCCCCCCGATTGCAAAAATTAATGGGGGGATGGTCTTTCTGGGCCGAAGTCGCTCAGACCTCTGAGTATACATATCCATGCCGGTTTCAAACCCGTTTCAAGGCCCTGTCAGACGCTCCGGGAAAGGGGCTTGAAAGTTCAGAATTGGGGCCAGAGAGCTCAAGCACCCTCCCCTCCAACTCACGCCTCGCCCATTGGCGGGATGCTGTGCGAAGTCAAACTTGGCAGGCTTCAATCCCGCTTCAGAGCCCCTCTCAGACACCCCTGGCAAAGGCCTTGGTAGTTATACGGATTCCCTGGATAACTATGAGACGTCACGGGTCAAAATAACAAAATCATGTTGCCCTTAGTGATCCGTTTGCTGGGCTGGGGCCGAAGTCTGAGGGACACATCCAGCTTTCGGGCGATCGAGCTTCACTCCCCCACCAACTGGCAATGTCTACAATTCTTCGTTGAGGCCTTTCTGGGCCGAAGTCGCCCAGACCTTTGAATATACATTTCCATGCCGGCTTCAAACCCGTTTCAGACCCTTGCCAAACGCCCCGGGCAAGGGGCTTGAGAGTTCAGAATAAGGGCTAGAGAGCTCAAGACACCTCCCCTCCAACTCACGCCTCGCCCACAAAGAGCGGCAGTTTCCAACCTCTGCAGGGAGCTTGCACCGGGCTTCACGGAGTCATTCAACGTTGGGAGCTTTCACCGGGCTTCACAGTGTCATTCAACGCTCTGACGCAATCTGCCACACCAAGACGTGCTTCGCGATTAGTTGCTCGCTGGAAACTGGCTGCAAGTGCGTGGCTGAACTCAATTCCCCCTAACACTTGCCGTGGCCCCTGATTTCTCAGAAGCTCATTCCACTGCCCAACAGGTTCCACACCGGCAAAGAGAAGAGCCCTCGTTCGATGAGTCTGAAACTGGCCTGAAACATGTCTGAAACATTCCCACCTAGGCCTCTGCCGGTCATGGCTCAGAACCCTTCTTTTTCGGAGCACTGCAACCTTCCTGAAACGGCCCAAGTGTGGATTTGGCAAGAGAAGCCTCAGATCAGCCTGTATTTGGGGCACCCCGCTGCCAATGTCGTCTGCCACGCTGTGGCCTGGGTGGGCGGGTGGGCAGCAGTTGCGCATCAGCTACAAGCACCTCTGGCAGTCGGGGGAAGCCCTCCGCATTTCTGTCCCCCTCTCACTCCTCTTAAAACCGTCCACGAGGTTTCAGACTGCTGCCAGTGCGTCCATATATGGGAACTGATGTTAATTTGGGCCCACCCTGAAAATGCTTGAAGGCCTTCAACTCCGGCTCAGACATCAAGACGCTCAATCCTTTTTTAACGCTGGCCTATGCTGTCCAGGGCCATCTTCAGCCCCTTTCAACTCTACAAAACTCCTGCCCAGCTTGCCCTTCCACAGGCATCGTCATCACAATCAGGCACTCCTGCTGGCGCAGATTTGCCAATGAGATTGCTCTCCTCTCGCCCAATGCCTTCGTGTACCTGACGCGTTTCTCGTCCACGTCCTCCAAGCCCGTAAGGGCAATCGCAGCAGACACCAAAGCGTATGGTGAAATCTGCGGCGCTTTTAGGCCCTTCTCCTGGTACCTGCCAAGTACTGACAGCGCCCGAGCAACGATCTCGTGACCAGCTGCTGCTCCAAACAAGCCGACAAGCACCTGCAACTGGCCCTCCGTGCGATGAGCCAGTGACTCGTACGACGACGAAGGTGAGGGCGCCGTCGCTGGGGCGGGCGACGGTGAAGGCGAAGGGGCCATTGCTGCGTCTGGCGCCTGCTCGGACGGTAACTCAGCAGGCCCTGCATCTTCAACAGGCTGTAGCCTAAATGCGATCTCGCGCAGGGCCAAGTGAACTAGCTGCCAGGCTGTCTTGTAAGCTACTCCCCTGACGACTCCTGGGGCTCCAAGCTCACTCCTCCTCCATGTCAAGAATATCTCCCGATCTGAGAGGGTCACGTCTTCCAGCGCGCGGCCGTCTTTCTTCTGCAGCAGGCGAGCATAGGCCCGGTCCAGCTGCGCTGGCTTCTTAGTCAGCACCCGCCACTTGCAGCTCTTTTGGCGCGCAACCATGGCAGGCGGCGGCGTGCCAAGAAGCTACTCGGGCTTGCGTCTAGCCGACAGCCTTGGGAAACACATGTATGTAGCTGGGCCGGCTCACGGCAACCTGGAGACTGAATGTCTTCATAGCCTGCTTGCAGCGGCCTTCTGTAATGAATGCTCTCTGTGGCTGCTACGCGCTACTTGATCGCAGTCTGACACACAAGCTCGAAGCCCCTTGCTGCGGTGCCCCGTCTACAAATGGCTGGCTCCTTGGACCAACAGCCCCATGAATACGAACCCGGGCTAGGGGCCAAATTGAAAGAGAAGCCAAGGCTTTGGAAGCTTTAAGACAACAGAAATGAGCAAAAGCATCCCCGAACTCATCTAAATGTATTCCTCTATAGGGCCCTCGGGCGATCACAAGCAGGCACAGCGAACGTCAAGCTCAGCAGGCCTGGCCAGGCCCAACCATCCCCTGGAACGTGTCTCCGAAAGATCTTCCAAACCCGTCAAAGATGAAACCTCCGCTGAAGGGATGGAATTGCCCGAACACCACGGATTTGGCAAGGTTCAAACAGAAACAAGTAAGTCTGAAACACCCAAAACACCCACTCTGAAACAAGTCTGAAACAGGTCTGAATCACAAGAGACCAGGTCTCTTAAACACAACAGGCCTATCCTGGATAATCCCCAACCCTTTTCCTCCCAGCTGTTTGTCCAAGAAACCTGGCTTGCCCTAGACTCAAGAATCCAGTGCCTGGGCGGAACCTCCCCAAAACTATCGAAAACTCAAGGTTCCGCCCGGTCATTGTCGGGCCACAGATGCAAGGCTGGCGAACAAGGGAACTGTCTGGAACAATCGTTAATGAGTCTGACCACCTGCTACGCATTCAGAAAAGTGTTTCAGGGTGCCCAAAACAAATATCGCCACAGTGCAAACTGTCAAGAAAACTTGGGTTACTGATCGTTAGAACACTCAAATTGGATGCTGGCCAACAAACCTGCACCATGAGTGCTGGGTTGTCCAATCAAGTGGGGCAGTTCAAGTGATATAAACTTCCCAAAGATCCCTGTTTTGGAGGTTGGAGGGTCGAGCCTTCACACTTAAAACCCAACAGCAAGCTCTGCCTGATGATTTTCCCAAGCAACTCACAGAAAAGCCGGCCACCGCAGTTTCCATTTTCAACTGACTCCTTCTCCTGCTGCTGCATAGCCTTTCCATGCAGCCAAGCTTTGCGGCAAATCTTGCCCAGTTCGCAGCAATGAAACTGTGTCCGTATCAGCGTCCACTCCTCGGTGGCAAGCAATTGCTCTGCCGCAGTAGACAGAGCTGGCCACTCGCTCCAGCGAAGAACCACGGCCTTCAAAGCCTTTTTCAGCTGCTTCTGACCTGCGAGAAGAAGTTGGTGACACTGGTCCAGCCTGGCCTGCGTCGGCCGCCCTCCAGGGCCCAGAGGCGGTGAAACCCGCTCAGCTGCATTAATAGGCTGAGGGAGCCTGGTCCAGCCAAGACCAGCTTGTCTGAAGTCAGGCCGGCAAGGCCCAACAGACACTGGATGTTTTTGGCTTGCAGGGGGCCAAAAGTCGCCGCCAGCGTCAACGCCTGCGATCGTCCATCGTTTCGGCCTTGCGTGCCCAGCTCCGCCGACACAGCTCGGCAATGCCTCACAGTCCGCCGCATGAACTCCAAGGCATCAGCGGGTGATTTACGAAGAAGCGTGTTCCTCTCGGCCCTGTGAAACGCATCTGTGAGCAGAGAAGCACAGTGCGCAGTCTCCACCAGCACCTCATCCAAACGTTGCCAGAAGGCGCGTGGCTGCAACTGCTCCTCGCCGACCTGCTCGGCCAGTGCTTGAGTAAAGGTTAAGCTGCTGAATCGGCCAAGCACCACGGCCGCATTTCGCCTCGCCGCATGCTTCACTGGGAGCTGGCCCAAAATTCGGGCAGCCAGGAGGCTGGCTCTATCTGTAGAAAACCAGTTCAGCTTCCAAGAAAGCACATCTGCAAGCGACACCGTCTTCACCACTGGCACATAGCTGCGCCCTGTGCGGATGGGGTCCCACTGCACGGGCCTCGCTTCTTCAAGCAGGGACTCAGGAGCGCCATGAGCTCGCAGAAGCTGAGCGTACCCCCTGTCACGACGAGCCTTGTCCCACTCCTCCTGCGTTTTCGTGCTCTTTTGAAAGTGCACATCATGTAGCCCGCGAAGCAGCAAGGCTTCTGCAAATACTTCTGGTACAGCATGTAAGCGCACTTGCTCGTAGTCACATGGCTTTCTGCGGAGCGCCTTCAAACGCTGAAGCATGGCCCCTAGAAGTGGACAAGCTGAGTCGTGGCTCTTACTGCTTTGAGATGCGTCACAGGTATTGCTGCTTTGCGGACTAATTGGTGTCCTCAGGGCTTTGGTCCGTGTGCTGCAATGAGGTGGTAACCAGACACCTTGCGGGGGCTGGGCAGCACCTCCGCGCTCAGAGGGTTTCAGGGGGGTCCCCACCACACTACTTGCAAATGAACCTCCGCCGAAGGCCAACCACCCCTGCTGATCTCTGCGCAGATGTTGGGCGCCCGAGCAGCGACGTCAGACGCAGAATGGATGCCCCGACCTGAGGCGCCGTTCAGCTATTCCCTGAACACAGACATCTGGGGCTGGGCGAAATCTGCTGAAATCCATCAAAAACTCAAGGTTCCGCCCGGTGAGCCATTGCGGCCAGCATGATCATATTACGCTTGTCTCAACTAGACCCCGACTAACCAGAGAACAGAGTCATTGACTTCGTGTCGCGCAAAAACACGAGAATTCAAGATACATACCCGAGATAACCTGCCAGCAATCATACGCAACTGGAAGACCGAGCCACTTGCTGCATCTACCCAAGCATTACTTTCCCAAGTAGTTTCAGGCTGCCAAACACACGTAGTCCCCTATCTGTCCCGTGCCCTTGAGGGATCCGCGAAAAATCCGCATTGTTTCAGGGCAGAGGGCTTTTGTTCCACACCGTAAATAAATGAGTTTGAGAAACACCTGGGAAACTAGTCTGAAACATGCCTGAACCACACACACACACCAGGCCTCTAGGCCTGCTGAAAGAAAACATCCGAATGCTAGCTGAAAAGAAGTCCGCGCTGCTTGTCTGAAATTACCCCGGCAGTGAGCGAAGGTCCGTTTTGGGCTGCATCCCGCCAACTTGGTACATAAAACATCTGGCAACTGATCCGTGGCCCCATCGGTATAGCAAAAAGGGAGGGAACATCTGGCAACTCATCCGTGGCCCCATCGGTATGGTAAAAAGGGGTGGGAACATCTGGCAACTGATCCGTTGCCCCGTCGATATGGTAAACAAGGAGTGGGAACATCTGGTAACTGATCCGTGGCCCCATTGAAATGGCAAAAAGGGGGGAAGGCTTGCAAAACCACCCGCGATGAGTCTTCAGGCAGGGTTACCAACCAAAGAAAATGGAGTCTCAAGCTCCCAGAAGAAAGGTTGCACATCGCCGCTCCAGAACTGATGGCTGCGCAATTGCTTTTTTTGCCGGCTACCGCTCGCTGCATTGCAGTAAGCGCAATCAGGAGCGCCCCCATCTATGATTGCTGTCACAATGCCACCCACCCCAGCCAGCAGAGGCAGATGTCTCATCTGCCCCGCAGGACAAACATCTCGAATGTTTCTGAGACGAACCCACTCTTCAGAACCTGTTGGAGGGCCCCAGCAAGTCTAAGCCCAAAACGGTTTATGGGGCCTCTGAAACAAGTCTGACAAGGGTCTGATCTAGGCCTTGAGTGAGTTGGTGCTGTTGGGTCCCCCCGAGCCCTCATGGCAGGCTTTCGGATCCCCGGTCCCAGAGCCAGATGCCTCCCTCGGTCATCACTCACGCTCCTTGTTTTGGCTTCAACATCTGAGCAGTGTCCAGACCTAGATGTCTTCTTTGGATGGCAGCTCCACTTTCAGCTCGCTGCAGCAGTGCCTGAGCTCATCCCAGGGCACTGTCTTGCCAGCAAGAGCCTTTGGATGATCGAGCTTCACTCCATGCTTCGCATGAGCGGCAAGCATCCGAACGCCTGCCTGCAGCTTGTGTCTCTTTGCTGCGTGCTTGAGGAGCATGTGAATGTCAAACCGGGTCAGGGCCGCTCCAACACCTGGCCAAGCCGTGCTGCCTGAGCCAGCTGCAGGCTGGGGCTCAGTTGATGAACCAGCCGGGGGACCAGGCTGCGCGCTCTCAGGTCCATCTGGCTCGGGAGAAGCGTCACCTTGCCGGATCCCCAAGATTAAGAACACAGATCAAATTACGTGGCGGATTTGCCTGTGCAGAAACTGCCATGTAACCCTGTCAAGCTGCCCATTGGCTGCCACTCCTACCTACTTTGTCATGAGCCAGGCCTGCTTCGTGCGCCGCTGCGTGCGCCACTGCGTGCGCAACTGCTTGGCTTGCGCAGCTGTCAGCGCTGTCGCTGGAGGAAGTGCTGGATGTGGATGAGGATGAGTCTGAGTCTGACCCGGATGCGTCTTCTTCGAAGGGCGCAGGCGCTTGCCAGCTCTTTTGGATGCTCTCCTCGAGGCCTGGTGCAAGCATGCCGTGTTTTAGACATGGCCAAGCAATTCAGGCTAGATCCCGTCAGCTTCTTGTTGCAAGCTGCAGAGAGTCACTGCTGACACAGTCAAAGCTTCAAAGTGACCGTACATGCGACCCTGCTAACCCACCAGCAACACGGCTTAGTTTCGAGACATTGAGTTCTTTTTCTATTCAAATTTGGCACCTCCCTGCCTTCCCAGCACTGGTATGGCTGAACAGCAAAGACTGGATTGCTCTCCACAGTGACGCGGTCATCCCCAACGCCGTCCAGTCTGATCAATAGCCCGCTGCATTGGCAGCAGTTTGCGTGAGCTGCAGCCTTTTCATGGCAATAATGTCTCCACAGATCGCCCACCCAATGCGTGCACCAAATCCGCCGGTCCTTGGCAGACAGGTGCTGGAAGGACTTGAAGTCCTCCAAAGATCTGTGAAGCTGCATCTGGTGGAACAGGTCCTTGTGGGTCTTGCCAATATGCCGGTCGATGGCCTGCCAACAATGCGTCCCGTTGGGCTCCCCATGCAAGACCGTAGTGCCGATTTTGGCCATCTCCTCCCGCCATGCGTGGGTGCAGTGTGCGGCGACATTGTCGCAAGTCAGCAGTACCGCTTTGCCCGCGTGGTTGGCTCAAACATGCTCCTTCCAGCACTGCGTCCAAAACTGGTTTGCATCTTCATTGAGATAGCCCTTTGGCGTGAAGAAGACTTTCACATCCTTGTCGTAAGAGGCCCGCTCAAGCTGTGAAATGTTGCCGGCTCCGAAGAAATAAAGCACCGGGGGCGGCTGCGCCTGCTTCAAATCTCCCGCGTAGCACATGTCCCATGTGAAAAACCTCTTCTCCCATCCGGCCTTGCCGGTCACAACTTGAACGCAGCCGGTGGTCCGCTCCTCAGGGCTGGCCCACGTGCGCCCTGCCGCAGTGTAGTCAAAACTGAACCCGACTTGGTCTCTGTTGAACCGCTCCCCAGGCGAAAAGAACCCCCATGCGTCTAACCAGGTGTTGTCACCGCAGCTAGGCTGCTTCTGAGCCATGTGCCGCAGCTTGTCCAGCCAGCGCTGCATGAGGGCACTGTCCTGTGCGGGCGTTGAGCCTCTCTTCTTCGTCGGCTTTCGCGGCTTCCAGCCACGGACCTGCAGCCAGGACTTAACCCAGGTCATCTTGGGCCTCCACACTTCACCGCCCCTCCTGGCAGCCAAAATGTCTTCCAGCCCCAATACAACCCTAGCATGTTCAGCGGGGCCAGTGGACCAAACATAGTTGCAAGAGAGCAACAAACATAATTGAATTAGTTGGACCATGTGCTAGCCATGCATGACTGGATTCCCTTCAGCCAAGACAAGGCTGCTCAACCACAATTTCCCGCGCCTGTTCCGCGGCCACTGCAGGTTCCTTCCTTCTCTTGTCTTGTCCACCTTGTCGTATATGCTCTCAGCCATGGCGAGAACAGTGACGGAATTCGCTGGGCGGCCAGCTTTGCGATGCTTTTTCAGAGCTCTGCAAAGGTGCTGGTCAAATTCCTGCACCAAGGGGTTCTGCCTGAACCAGCCCCTGCGGGTTCGAGCCAACTTGGTCGCAGTTCCCTTGGCAGCCTGCTCGACCAGCTTGTCGTAGTTGCGAGACCACCCGTACACAGTGTTGTACGAATACTGTGTGCCAGTGGCATTTCCCTTCTTGTCTTTGGGTGGCGTGCCGCTCAGCTTGCAAGCCCGCCAGGTGTCGACTGCATCCACTTGCTGCTTGGCTGAAACGCGCTGTCTCCTCAGGGCAGGGCAATCAGCAGGGACTGCAACGAACTTGAACAAACAAGGCTCGCCAAATCGCTCCCACTAAGTCCTGTTTGCGCCACGCGTCTGCTTGATGGCGCCCGTCTTGGTGCGCTTCTTCGGTGTCTCCAGCGGCTCATCCTCCTCCGCCGCCTCCTCTTCAAGAAGCTCAGGCAGATTGGCTTCTTCAGCATGCTCGAAGGAAATCAAGTGTTCGAACTGCTCGGGCAAGTCTTGCTCTTGCACTTCTTCTGCAAAGAAGCTCTGGATCAGCGCGCCGGGGCGCTGTGGCAGCGCGCGCGCAGGCTCCTTGCGAACCCCGTGCTTCCACCAGGCATGGCTGATCAAGGCCTGCTCTGACTTGAAACCACCTCTGCAAAGATCGCACTGCCAGGGCTGCGCGCACGCAGATCGGCCACCGAAGAGCGTGGTCTGGATCATCTGAAACTTGAGCTGGCAGCACACCGCAACACTGCCATGCGAAAGAGGAATGCCTTTAGCTCTCTGGGATCCCTCAGCCAAAAAACTGCATGTAGGCCACACAGCTTCTCTGTCCCAGACACACACGCATACAGAAATACACTGTGGCCAACCACTATGGCAGAAGCACAACAATTGGCCGGATGACCACCCTCCCCCACGCCCCCCAATGAACTGATTTCAGACTGGTTTCAGACTGGGCTCAGACCTCGTTTTTGGCTACTATAAGTGGTTCCCTCTAAATCTGCAATACGAAGCTAAGACCCCCACAAAATTTACCTCCCAGAGTCTCAGAAAACCTCACATTTCTTCATTCCACCGCAGGGTTTGGAAATTTGCGAGACTCTCGACAGTGAAAAGGGATTTCTTATCACACAGCATGACCGTAAGCGCTCAGGAACTATCTGGAAAGAGCGGAGGGGTTTGAGGTGTCCAACGGGCCCAGATTCGAAACCTCGTGGCTGCGACGAGCGCGTCCCGTCTGCCCGGCCTGCGTGGCCGTGAAGAGCTTGTGCCGCAGCCGCAGCAGCCCGGCGCAGGCACTTCACGGGCGCCCGTTTCTTAAATCTAGACCCTGAACAAAATATAGATTTCTTACCGAGGACCCTCCGTAAGAAATTCCCGAGCCCCTGCCTAAGAATACAACATTTCTTAACATAACGCTCAGCCGTAGGCTTACACGGGTATGAATTGCTACTGGGGACCCGTTGGTGGACATCATCTTACATGAGGATGTTTGTCCGCCAGTTACTTAGCTTGGTTGACGTTGGAAGGGGAGCATTTTTTAAAGCAGTTCAGTGGATTTGGATTTCAACCACCAAATCTCACAATACGCAAACATGCAAAATGTTTCCCAACAACAATCATGTGAGGATCGTTGTCCGCCAGCCACATAGGAGATGGTTCCCTAGTCGAATTCACAGCCAATAAAGGCCCCCCCGCCCCTGATGCGCCTGGACTTCAGATTGAAGCGTCGCCAGCAGCTCAATAGCGCGCCTCCACTGCCCGGCCTCACGTGGAAACACAAACAAACAAACCAACAAACAAACAAACAAACAGACAAACCAACAAACAACCAACAAACAAACAAACAACCAACCAACCAACCAAGCAACCAACCAACCAACCGACCGACCGACCGACCGACCGACCGACCGACCGACCGACCAACAAAACAACCAACCCACCCACCCACCCACCCACCCACCCACCCACCCACCCACCCACCAACCAACCAACCAACCAACCAACCAACCCATCAAGCAACCAACCAACCAACCGGCCCATCAAGCAACCAACCAACCAACCAACCAGCCCATCAAGCAACCAAGCAATCAGCCCATGAGGCAAACAAGCAAGCAAGCAAGCAAGCAAGCAAGCAAGCAAGCAAGCAAGCAAAGCAAGCAAGCAAGCAAGCAAGCAAGAATTCAAGCAAGCAAGCAAGCAAGCAAGCAAGCAAGCAAGCAAGCAAGCAAGCAAGCAAGCAAGCAAGCAAGCAAGCAAGCAAGCAAGCAAGCAAGCAAGCAAGCAAGCAAGCAAGCAAGCAAGCAAGCAAGCAAGCAAGCAAGCAAGCAAGCAAGCAAGCAAGGAAGCAAACCAAACCGACAAACAAAATCCCACCGACAACCACAGAAATCAAACAACTTCAAACACAGCCACGGACGTTTCATAACCCAGGGCGCAACTCTGAGCAAAGCTCGTACTCTGTAACTAATCACTGTTGGTTTGGAGGAAGGGTGGAAGGGGTTTGCTGCGTTCTTCGTGATGCTCACTTGGAACTTCAATGTGTTTTGCCATGCTTTTTTGGGAAGCCGTAAGTATAAATAATATGAGCAAAACAAATTCATAAGTATCCCAGGGGGAGAATTCCCTTCCTCAGTGAATTGGATTCAAAGAAGGCGCCATCTCGTTTTGAAGCGCTTTGTGATTTCTACGCTTCGCCAATCGCACCCTTGTAGTACAACTGCAGTACGCCAAGCACACTTTGGCAGCTCCTCAAAAGGCACAGCTCAAAGTCGGATATCACAACTCACAGGCTCGTTTTGGGCTCGTTCTCCACTCGCTTTGATTTGTTGCTTTTTGCGCCAAGCCAGCTGCCCGCACAACAAGCAAATGCGTCATCACAGTGTTCTGGTTTCATCTCGCCTTTGCGGACCAGAACCATCTCGTTTCACAGTGAGTTGTCAAGTGCTTAGGGTATTCTGACCGCAATACAAATCTCACTTTCCAAGTGGATGGGCCACAAAAAGTCCAAACTTTGTATTTACCACCAACATGGTCTTCCCAAAAAGCATAAAGTGCAGGAACCGAGGAATACAAGCTCAACAAGCGGATTCGGACCTGACTGCTCGTGGAATCTTCACTCATGGGCCTCTTGGGCCGCGGTGATGGCCGCGTTCCGCGGCACCAGTGCGCCGTTCTCGGCCAGGCATAAGGCCAGGCGCCACATGGTGGCTGCTCCACAGGAGGTGACCTCAGTCCATAGGAAATCAACTGAGTTCCCCTGAAAGGGACCACAAGGGATGGTTCCTGCAAGCGGAATTCCTCCTTCCTGGTATTGGACTCACTAAGTGGATTGGCACAAGCTTGGCTTCGAGCCAGGTTGCGACTTGCCCCCAGAAAGAATCAAACGCCCTTGAAACGGGACCTGACTAGATGAACATTGTGCCCTCCGAAACGGGTTGTTCCCGTTTCTCGCACTTGATTGTAACTCCAAAAAGTTGAGAAGGACATGCACCACTGGAGGTCTGACGAGGCACGAGTTGCAGCCCTGTTCGTGGGAAAAATATACATTAACTTGCGGCATTTGAAGGAAGCAGCTATGAGTTTAAACTGTGAACCGCCTCAAAAGTGGTTGGACATGAATTCCAAATGATGTCTGCAAACACCTTAACTTGTGCGGCTTCAATTGAAACCCACTTGTTTTTGCCCCCCCCGCCCCCAACAAAAAAAAGTCCAATCCCACCTCTTGTCCAAAAAAAGAACAAAAAAACAGGCTCCACAGGTCCCACCAAATACACTCCCTCAGAACCTGGAAGCTCCCAAAAGGCCGATCCTGTACATGGAACCCAGTGGTTTTCCCCTTCTGGTGGCAAGACCATTTGGAAGGTTTTAGCCTTTTGGGTTGTTTTTCCCTCTTCCAAGGAAGTCCTGGGAGCTTCCACGTTCGTCTGGGGGAGCCGTCAACGCCAGCTCTCGCAATCCGCTCGGCTCCCCACGATCGCAGGCTGGAGGCCCAGCTTGGACGGCAACATCCTCAGCTCGGCTGCGTCCAAAATCGAAAGAAAAAACAACTGGCCACGCAAATTGCAGAACCACTTCTTGGTTGACGTTGGAAGGGGGAGCAACAAACATATACGTTTTAGCAGTTAAGTGGATTTGGATTTCAACCACCAAATCACAACAAGCAAACATGTAAAGTGTGTCCCAACAACAACCACGACTTAAGGTTATATATGGGTGTGTCCAAAAATAGACACATCACCACAAATGGTTCTCAGACGTCTTCTTGTGTGGCCACACAAATTGCAGAAACACACAAGGTTGACCCCATTTTTATCAACCCCAGTTTATTAATGGGGGGGCGGCCCAATTTCCCACTATTAATGAAATGGGGTTGACTGATATGGGGTCAGCATTATAGGTGTGTTCAACAATAGGGACGGGCCCCCTTTTTGGAGGGGCACTTAAAGAAACAAACCCAACCGGAACAGCCGTGTTTTTTGGGGCCCGCGATTGATTTTTTGGACCCATCTAAGACGGTTTCCACAACCGAAACCACCGGAACCCATGGGAAAACGAGTATCAAACACTCCTTTGGTTTCCACAAAAGACATGGAACAGGGAGTATGTCCACTGCTGTTTGTGGAAATTTAGCGAGTCCCCCATGTCCCAGCCTGACATAGACTACGAACCTAAATGAGCTTGTCTCCAAATGGAGCCCCAGGAATGGACGATTCCCCCTGCTTTTTCTTCAAAACACACAACAAACAAGCTTCCAAACAAGGCACACACACATATATGTGAATAAAGTACAATTTGTGGGCAAAACACAGGCATTCTTGCTTGCATCAAAATAACAGTCATATCTCCGACTCCGTTTGCTGAGTGACTGAGTGTGTCATGACCTGTCCATTCAGGCTGGCGATTGGTAGGGAGATGACTTGACTTGTCACCACATTTGGATTCATGTTGTTCCCAAACAATTGGGTGGGGTTTGCACAGGGGGCCTCTCTTGCGTGGCGTTTGTGGCCAACTGACCCGCTAAGGACAACACCTGACCTCCAGACACGGGAAGCAAACGAGACACCATGTTTGTTGCATTCAACCCGCAACCTGCCCAAACAAATGGACCAACAGGGCGCGTGCCCGGAGGTTGGCAATTAGACTGAAATCCTCAAATCACAACCCTTGAGCAAGGTTCACAACCCCTCCAAAAGGTCACGTCACCCCCCCAAAACAAATCAGAACCCGTCCACAGATCGCCCCAAATGTTCACTTAGAAGGGAAAAAACAAACTTATTCTTAAGCAAATGAGAAGCTTTCAACGTCAGAAAGCGGCCGCCAGGTGTCCAAAGTGCCTGCGACCAGTGTGCGCCATTCCACTCGGCGCCATCGGCGTCCAGCTCCAACTCGCGTGCGATTTGGGCTCCCTCCCCAAATGAGACTCGGCATGGACCCACTTAGGTCGGTTATAACCACAAGCAGGGGAACTGTGGTTGGTTCCCGTACAACCATGGTTATAACCTACTTGCTTCGTAGGTTGTAAGTTATAACAATTATAAGTAGGGTAACTGAGGTTGGTTCGGCGAACCTCTCACCCGCCCAAAGGACCTAGAAATAGAAGGTGAATCTGTTGGGGCAAGACGGATCATGGACCAAATCAGGGAAATGGATGTTCAACCCACTTTGCAGGTTATGACCATAAGTAGGGTAACTGCGGTTGGTTCTCGTATAACCATGGTGATAACCTGCTTGCTTGGGTTGAACATCAAAGCATGTTTGTTTCGGGGTTTCCTTGAACAGTAGAGGCTTGCGCGTCTTCTCTGGGCTGTCACAACTAAACACTAAAAAGACCAAAAAAGCTAAGGGACCGGATGGCTGGTCGAGCCACCAAGTGCTGCTGTTGCGTCCGCTTCGTTTTCCCCTTGCCTGGTGCTGCCGTGATGTGATCAGCAGATGCTGCGCCACCGCCCAGGGCGCCGAACGCGCCGGAGCTAGGGTAAGGCTCAGCGCGTGGCGCCACCTACGAGTCGGGTCCGGTTTGATAGAGACCATAGGAGTCAGAGTCCAAATAACTTCTCTGGAGTCTATTCATTCCGACTTTGGGATTTCCCCTATCGTTTGTTTAACTGTTTTATCCTCAAGCTTCGGGGTATCGTTTTTCTGGACGTCCCGCATCATGCTTTGAGAACAAACAACAAAAACAACATGTGCATGGAGGCTTTTGTGGATCCACCCTTGTAGGATTTCAAAGGGGTACTAAAAAGAGGACCAACAGGGAAAGGTGAAATGCAGACCAATGAGCATTCAAACCGCACGCAGATGGGTATGTGTCCAAAAAAGGGGACTTTGAACATTGGGGGTTTTCTTTTTGGCCTGCAACCCCCAAAAAGGCCCGTCTTGATCAGACGGTGCAACCAATTGGGGGATCCCTGCAGTGTAATCCTTGCGCAAGAGACACCACTATGCACCAGGATTCAGGACGGGTTGGGGGCGAGCCCGGCACTTCTTGACCTTTCAGGATTCGGCGCTTGGCAAAAATCAGGGGAGTGGTGCCATCTACTTTCACCCCGCATGGCCTGAGCTGTTTCCCAAAGTGAAAGATCCACTTTCAAATAGGAACTATATCAATCAGCCAAGGGTTTATCAATGCTGGGTTCCCATTGCCCCATTGACTTGAACGGCACATCTCCCCTGTCTGGGAAACCATGGGTATTGCATAAAAAGAGGCACCTTACTGGATGTCGAACCCCTTCCCCATTCATGAATCTAGGTTGGACTCTTGCGGGCAGGGAATGAGGGGCTGAAACATCCCAAAATGGCTTCCTTTTCAGGGAATCCCCAGCTTCCTTCCCGAAACTCGGGAAGTTTGCGACTGAGAACCAGCTCACCGGCCTCTCGGCGCGCGCGACCGCAGCCGCCACGCGCGAGACCGCAGCTGTTGGCGCACTGCTCGGCAGCAAAGCCAGTGCAAGGGTCCAGTCCTGACAGGACTTGGATGACGTTGGAAGGGGAGCAAAAACTTAAATGTTAGCAGTTGAGCGGGCATTTCCCACTAAACCGCCATAAGCAAAAATGTAAAGTGTTTCCCATCAACAACCATGGCACCGCCACTAAGCGATGTGAGACTGCTTGGACGGGCTAGTAGCTTGGCCAAAAGCATCCGACGACCTAAGTGAACATGTGGCTGGGAAAACGAAGGACACCAAAAGAAGAAACGGCAAAAAGGTCGGGACAGTCTGGCAAAGTAGAGTGATCATTTCAGACCGCTTGGATGGTCCAGCTATTCATTAAGTACAGGTTCTAGCCATGGTTACGTCAGGGGCTGGATTCCGTTATAACCACGTGTTTTCACTTCGTAGTAGGTAGGTTGCACGTCCCAGTGCCAAAAGGAGTACGTCTCTGAAACTCAACCTGGGCAATGCGCTCTACCTGAATCAAACATGAGATGCAAAAGCTGTCCACATCGAACAATAAGCACAAATTGCGGAGCAACGCATCGAACCAAATCCTGGGAAAACCATAGTTGTTTGGCACCCTGTAGCAGGAAGCGGATGGATCTTCAGAGGCCGGACACATGATCCTGACACAATGCAACTATACAGGGGTTGCTTTTCTCAAAATCACCCATCAGTCGGGCAAAAGATCCCCAAAAGAATGGGGAAGCCACGTATTGCTTTGTTGACCCGGGCCCTTTGGGCAATTGATGAGAACGTTTGGTAGCATCTCCTTGCTCCTGCACAAACGAGGATGGAAGAGCCATGAAGGATCTCCAGGTGAATCCCATGGCTTGAACATGAAAACCATGCGGGTCAGCTCACAAGGAAGACCTTTGCTTTCAGCCCTGAGATCCCCCGCTAACAGTTTAACTTTTAGTGGGTTCAATTCCGAAATCCTACCACTCAACAAAAGCCAAAAAGATCCAAACAGCTTTTTGTACCGGATGGCTGGGGGAGCCACCAAAATGTCGATTCCCTGTTTCGGCATAGCCCACTTCGACGCTTGTCCGTCCGCCCGACTGAACCTCCCGCGACCAACCAGCCGACCGACCGCGCCTCGACGCAAGCGGCGCAAAAGTGGGCGTCGGCCAGCCTCAGGGCACTGGGCCAGGGCGGCCTGGCGCAAGTCTTCGCTGGCTGCGAGGGCCATGGGTTTGCAGTTCGAAACGTTGGCCTGTGTCATGTTTTGCCCTTTGGGAAACCGGTTTCCGTGCAAAAACTCAAACGAACATTTGGCTCCTTGTCAGCCCTTTAAATCTGATCGGACTTGAGTTTCCCTTTTGTTTTGCCGACATACACGAAAAAGTGCACCGTTGAAATAACCCAACAAATCCGATTGAACGACAAACAGCACCCCGGCCAGACCTCCAGTAAATGGCAACAAATGAACGCCATGTGTTGGGGTTGACTTTGAAGGGGCGCTCCCAGTCCAAACCAAGAGTGCACAATAACTAGGTCCTCCAGTAGAGAGGATAGAATAAGGGTATCAACTTTTTTGTGTAGTTTATTTTTGTAGGGCAACCCTCCCCCAAAAAAGGGGTGAGACAAGGGCACTACTGGGGACCTAGTTAACCTCTCCTGCGTGGATTGGCCAAAGTCCAACCTTTGCCGCTTGCCACCAAAAATGGGCAAGCCAAAACGCAGTGATCGGGAGAACGGGGTGTCAGATCCTGGAATACAACAAGGGGATATCATGTACCCCGCTAATTTTGAACAAAACACATCCCCTGTGTTTCAAAAATCCCCCCACGGCAGGCCTGAAATATATATATATATATATATATATATATATATATACACACGAGAACATATGGCCAGTAGTGAAATCGATTTTTCTTTTGAATTCACAGGGGGGGAGTACAACAAGGGGAACATACCCAACAACTACAAAAACATCCCCTGTGTTTCAAAAATCCCCCCCACGACAGGCCTGAAATGCATATATATATATATATATATGTATATATATATATATATATATATACATACATATATATATATATATGAGAAGATATGGCCAGTAGTGAAATGGATTTGTCTTTTTGATTCACAGGGGGGGGAGTACAACTTACTCCTTTCAGCAACTGGAAGCCCCCCAAAGTTGACAGATCCCACAGATCTCCGCCTGGCGTGGAGCGCAGAACTCCTGCTCCAAGCGTCCGGCTCCAGCGCACTTTGCCCCATCCGCCGCAGCCTCGACGTCGAGAGGCGACTCAAAATTGGTGTGGCTCCAAAATAGATGGCTCAAAGGCCCAGTGGATTTTCACACGAAAAACAGGATCGGCATCCCATTTGTTTTGGGAGTTGACTTTAAAGGAATCGGAACTTTTCCCCAAAGGACAAAAAGGGTGGAATCCACTGGGGCGGAATCCACGGGCAACAAAGAGGGGGTCCAACCTGGGTTACCCTGATAAATGGAAAGGTAGACAAAAACTTGCGATTTGCCCCAGCTGTTCAATTTTGAGCCACACCCAAAGTAGGTCCTATGAAACAAAACGACCAGCGGCTTTGCCAAAGTTGAACCTCACAAAAGGGGTCGTTTTCTGGATTAAGTTGGAAAGCCATCTGCATGGCATGCAAAAACAGATTGGTCCATCAGTTTCACGCACAACAACTCTGAACAGCCCACGGGGTCAGTTTGAATTGTTTTCATCCATTGCTCTTTTCAGCAGCGAGCGAGCCGTTTTCCACCGGTTGTTTGATGGTTTTCTGAAACGATGCGGATCCCTGATAAAACCTTGCTCCAGCCTCCCCCCCCCCCCACGGGTTAAATCAAAAATACGTTATCACCGTATGTTTCATACTCAGCCAACCTTGAAGCACAACTTATGGGTATAAAACTTAAGTGGTAATTTATGACCACCAACAATTTCAGAGGGCTTTCCCCATGACATTGGCCACATTTCCTCAGACCCCAACGAAAGCCCCTTAGGTTCGTTTGGGTAACCTGGAACACCTGCGATCCTTCGGGGGGGGGGGGAACAATGACATTAGCCATATTTCCTGAGACCCCCACAAAAAGCCCTTTAGGTTTGATATGTCCGGAAAATGCATCCCGGCAACCTGAAAAACCCGGATCCCTCGGGAAGCAAAAACAACGCGAGACCTGCCCAAGAACTCGCCAACTTAGGCTTCTTTGTCCGGAAAATGCATCCCGGCAACCTGAAAAACGCAGATCCCTCGGGATACAAAAACAAACGCGAGACCTGCCCCACAACTCGCCCCCTTAGGTTTCTTTGTCCGAAAAATGCATCCCGGCAACCTGAAAAACCCGGAGCCTTCAGAACAAAACATTTTGACCTCTCTCCGAATCTTGGTTGACGTTGGAAGGGGGAGCAACAAATTAAACGTTAGCAGTGAAGTGGGCTTGGATTTCAACCACTAAATCCCACAATAAGCCAAACATGTAAAACTGTTTCCCAACCACAACCATGGGTTTCCCCTTTAGACACCACAACACAAACTCACTTTAAATGGGTCTGCGGTCAATAAGCAAAAATGAAAAAACCTGATCTTCGACCACAACCATGTGAGAGGTGGCCAAAACATTTGCCCAGAAATGACCGAAGGATGGCTCGCTTGCCCCTTGAACCACAGAACGATGCAACAACCACGGAATCGAGAAGCTCCGCCAGCGCTTGGCCCCACTCCGTGCAGCGGAGCGAGTTGAAGCTCACCTTCGTCGCCATCAAAAAAAAGCGCTGAAGCGCGTTGAGTTCGGTTCCGAACTCTGCGAGAGCCGTGTGGAAAAACTGTTTTTCCTCTTCTTGTTTTTTCTCCTCGGATTTTTTCCCGGTAGAAGCAGGTCAAACAATATGCAACTCCTGAAGTAAGGGTGTTTTCAAGTAAAGGGCCTGCAAAATGTTAAGCTCGTTGCCAGGTGGGCAGACCTCTCACAACATCTCGTTTTGAGCGGATGGGCAAACAGCCCAACCTTTTTGCCCACGAAACTTTTTGTCTCAAGTCTGAAGTCCAGTAACTGTCACGCAAACCGCATAGAAGTGATCCAAAAACCTGTGAAGAACTCAAGGCAGCAGGTGTCCCTTGCCTTTCTGTGGTGCTCTGAGCAAATGGTGGATTCGCCCTGTCTGGGTTTAGAGTGACAAAGACCAGCCATCTGCAAACGATTGAGACCTGAAACAACACTGGAACAAAAGAATCTGGTAATTACATCAGCTTCCCCAAAGGGCTGATATTCTTTGTCACAGGCGTTGCCCAAAACAAATGATCATAGAGCCAAATACAGTTTGGTTGTTTTGTTCACAACTGTTCAAGTGACAAATATAGGTTTTGTATGGCCACATACGGCCAACTAAGCCTTTCGGGGCAACAACGTGCCAAATACGCCTTTTGACCGGGAAAAAAAAGTGGCTCTTCGGGGCTGCAAGGCCCACAATATAATTTCCCGTGGTTTCCCGTTGGATTTCCCTTGAAACCACACAAAAGGGTGGCAACTCCGAAAGAAGATTCACACTCATCTAGTCGTGACCTGAGTCATTCCCCCTAAAGAATAACCAGCCAGCTCCCCGAGACGATTCATAATTACCTCTGAGGGTTGGTTGAGGGGTGGCCGCAAGTTATGATTCTCTGAGCTTTTTCAGAGCTGTGGCCAGCCGCCCTGAAAGAGTACTGGAGAAGTGACTGGAACTTTTGGGTGGATTAGGGTTTAAGGTAAGGTTTAGGTTTCTGGGTGGGCCTCTAGTGCTCCTCTACTGCTCCGGCGTGATCCGTTCCAGGGATATTACGCCATTTACCTCATCAAAATAGTTGGGCAACCTATGGCAAGGTCAAATATTGGGGCATGGCTGAAGGTTTGTTTTTTGTTTGTTCCCCTGTAGAATCCCACAAAGGGGATCCCTTTTGAGAACCCCAACCCCCATCCTAACAGGCACCCCACGTGCTCTCGGTTCTAGGGGTTGATTCCTTGTCCATTTTTCTTCAACCATCCTTCATTTCAAAGACTGGATGCGTTTCCCCTGGGTTTTTGATTTCCTGAAAAGATTCAGATCCCTGGAAAGAATGACCACCTCAAAACCTCAGATTCTAGTGGCTGTTTCCATTTACCGGGCTTCCATTTCGGCCACCTATTTTCGACCCACCGCCATAAAAACGCCTTTTGTCAAAAAAAAAGGCCACACTTTTCAACAGGAGCACGGCATAGGTTCCCCGAATTGGGGAAGGCCCGCGCGCCGGGTCGCCGCGTCCACTCGCAGCCGCCGCTGGAAGGCTTTGAGGAGCCGCGCCGCGCCGCGCCAGGGGCAGCGGCGCAGGAGGGCGTTCAGCAGCACCACATCCGGCTGAAGCCGGCGCTCCTGGCCTGAAAGTGCTCAAAGTGGCTGGTTGATACGGCGGTTCTGTGTTTTTGCTTTTCTCCTTTCACCGGATCCCTTGCTTGGTTGGTCTTTCCTGCAACTTGGAAAGTTGAGACAAGCGTGTGGTTGTGTTTGTTTGCTTTCTTTTTTTTCAGGGGAAGTCTTTTCAGTCAGCTTTCCTGCAAACAAGCGATACCCCCCAAAAAGACAAAAGACACACCTAGGTGTGTCCCATTGTGTCCCCATGCGACATGGGATTCTGGTGAGCCCCCATTTCGTAGGTATTTTGGTACGTGTGTCACATTTGGGCATGAATAAACCTGGGAGATTCTTTTGGGGTGCCGGCAAACAGCGAAGGAACCGGGACCTCACAACTCTCTCGCCAACGAGGGCATTTGCGGAAACTCTTGCCCAAACGCCCATCAACTTTTGGTTCTACCAACATGGTTACAAATGCTGATATGGGGTTTACTATAACCCCACGAAACCAGGTCGTAGAACCCTGCCTTTCCAAGTGGCCAATGGGGTGTTGGGTGCTGCTCATTTTGTCATGTGTCAAACTAAAGACCCCCGTTTCACTTCGGCAAACCACAAAAGGACCCGTCGCCATCTTTAGGGGCCTTCCGATGATTGAGAAACACCCGAAATGAGGGCGTGCGAAGGCCCGAATCAGCAATGCTTCGTTTCGGTCAAAAGGAAGTGGAACTATAACCGTTATGAAAAACCTCGAGGTAAGCCCTAAATCTTGGTTGACTTTGGAGGGGGAGCAACAATTTAAGTGCTAGCAGTGAAGTGGATTTGGATTTGGATTTTAGCACAACAAGCAAAAATGTACAATGTTTCCCAGCAACAACCATGAAATTGGCGGTTTCCCATTCAGCATGCCTTGAGCACCATCCCAAACATGGCGTCGTGAATGTCGACCCACTCACTTCCGCATGGACAAGCAACCCGGGCATAGTGAGTTCATGTGCCCGAGTTCAGGAATCCGAAAAAGAAAAGTGAAAGGTATTGAAATGCTTGACCCAGAACCATGTAAAGAATCAAGAAGGCGGATTCCCACAGCTATTTCTGGTATCCCTTACTAACCTTCATCTACCCGAATCGGTTTTGAGCTAGTGGCTCAACTGGCAGATTAAGACTCCCAAGCTGGAAACACCAAGACACCCCCATGCAACGACCCGGTTTTTTTTGAGCGACCGAGCCGCAACGCACCAGCAATTCTGCTCCATGCCGCCACTCGAGGCAGGTGGCCGCCTCAGAAGAAAGACGCGGAAAAAAACGTTTCAACAGAAGCTCGGTCGCGAAATCTGCGAAGCCCTGCTAAGAGTGAATAACTTTTATAGGGGTTTAATACGGAAAACCCACTAGTTGGCAAGAAGTTAGAGTCCTAACATCCCTTGGCAAAATGCGCCAAAGTAAGGATTTGGACCCCCCAAAATAAAACAGGGTCCCTGTTTTTTTGAGTGAAATGGGATACCTGCAAAAGGCAACCACCAAGGGGAGCAAACCCCCAAAATGGTTCGTTTTGGTTCCCTTTGAACTTCTTTGTGAACAAGGGGAGCACGCAGTCATAGAATTCCCAAGGCCGAGGGAACACATGGCATTTCCCAGGGGGGGGGGGTTTTGTTAGGGGTCCTAAAGTAAGCCAAGGGCAACCCCGCCTCTCCGTCCCTTCCAAAAAACCGCGAATGTGCTACAAAGGCCCTGAACCTTTCTAACTCAAGTAGGACATCCGAACTCCAAAAATATCCAAAAGACCAGCTGCCACTTGCACCTGGTTTGGTTCACATCAAACACTCGGTTGCTTTCTGCTCCCTGCTAAAAGCTTAATATATAGTGGTTTAATTGCAAAAAACATGAGTTGGCAACAAGTTCCGGTCCTAACATTCAAGCAAAATGCACCTCTGAAAAAATGACCCCCCCCCCCCAGCCGGACAAAGCGTTGAATCCGATTTGAACCGAGACGCTGCCGTGAAGGAGACCACGTCCGCCTCCTATGCGATCGAAGCGGGTCCTGCGCTAGCGAAAGTCACCCGATCATCCACGCGTCTCCTTCGTCTCTCAAAGGATTTGTGCCATTTGTAGGGCACCCCTTTTGCTTCTCGCCTGCTTTAAAAATAAACCAGAAGAAAACCTGGCGGGTTCCCTGTTTAGACACAAAACCCGAAGGGTGGACCTTCATTGGGTTGTACTTAAAGGGAGACCAAAAGGAAACCGTGAAACCACTTGAACGTAAGTCGTGTCTGGGGAAATCCCCCCATATCCTGTTTTCCCCATTCTCTGCTCATTGGCTTCCGTAACCAAACTCTTCGATTCCCTCTGATGCAATAATAAGCGACATCAGCACTGATTACTATACACAACCTGAACTCAGGAAGGTCCAAGGGACACTATTCCACATACCAAGCCCTCTTGAACAACTCAAAAGACAATATGTCTGGTTGCCTACTCTAGTGTTCCCGGGATGCACTGGGTAATTATGGACTAGTCAGCCCGGCCATTCCAACAATCATAGAAGCTGACAGGCGGGTTTGGAACACAGTCGTATTGACAAAGGCCTCCCGTCCACTTCCACTTCCATGTGTTGGGTGAGGATGACACCGTTTCGGCATTCAGAACAAACTGGACTGATGTGTCCAGGGTGCGATGACCAGACATGGTTCGTTTGGGGAATGAGGGCAAACGGCAAGAAAGCGAAGCGGTAGAAATTGAACATGCCATACACACAACCTGCACTGTTGAACATGCTTCCAAAGCTTGAAACTAGGGATCCTCAAGGATCTTCATCAAGGTGAGCTCTTTTCAACTGCAGCTGAGCTCGCAACAAAATAGGCAGAACAAACAGAGGCCCCGGGACCCATTCAAGTGACATCCTCCAAATTACTGTCTAAAAGTTTGTTTGAGGGGAAAACAAGCCCACGGTAATGGCAAACCCGGATCAATCAACCCCAGTTTATTCATAGGGGGGTCCCTGAGTTTAGTGCGGAATAATGCCACTTTTGGAGGGGCCCCCAGGTCCATACTAATAAACAGGGGTTGATTAGTTTGGGGTCAACATTAATATACTATTCATCGTCCAAATTACTCTCCAAGAGGTGGTTTGCAGGGAACACAACCCCACAGTAATTTACTTGCAGGTATCCTCCATTTGCTTAAGTCCCTTGGAAAGAATGAGAGAATATTTCCAGTAGTGAAATCGATTCCCTTTAAAGCCAACAGGGGAAAATAAAAACAATATTCTTAACCAAATGGATGTTCGAGGGGAAAACAACCCCACAGTAATTTACTTGCTGGTGAGAGAACCCACATCCAGCATCCTGCGTCATCAGCTTGAGTCCTGGTCCACAAAGCAGTTCGCGCTGCGCCACTGGGCTGCCCGGGCACAGCAGCTCAGCACAGCCGTGCGAGACCTGTGCTTCGAATTCCCCTCGACTCATGTGTGCCGCAAAAAAATGAGACTACGATGTGGATTTTTTCATAAGGTTAATTATTCTTCAGTCGAGGTAAAACTTAGTCAAGTACCAAGTAAGCCTGACTTTGTACATGTACATGATGTCCAAGACCAAGGAGCTTTCAAATCCTTGAGAGGGCCGGCGCTCGGGAGGTAAGGCGTCCGCCAACGGAGATATGGGTTTGCTTCAGGGGGAGACGGGCTCCGGTTTCCTTCTGGTGTCCCTTCAATCGACCTTGACAAGGGTATCAAGATACAAGGCATACCAGCGCATGATACCGTCCTTTCGATCAAGGCTTACTCTATCAATTACGAATACGTGCGGACTGGTGGGGGAAGAGTCCGACCTTGGTTCTTAACTGTCGGAAGCATGCACACAACTGGATGTTCCCTCAGGGAAGTCATTCCGTCCATGCCCCAAGTGAAATCAGAGCTTTTGGGAAAACACATCCGCCTGGTGTTTTAAAATAGGTTGCCTTTCGCCTTCGCTTGAACTACCACCAAAGGCGGTTCACCATTTTGAGGAAACACCACACGAAGCCTGTGGCCACTTTGCTTGGAAGACATCGTAATCTATGCTACACTGCTGTGAGCATGGTGTGTACAATTACGCAAGAGCAACAAAGGAAGATGGATAAACTGTCAATACAGAAAGGTCTGGCATTCTGTGCTTAACTGCCTCTTCAAGCTCATAAGTCTTGCATCACTCGTCCCAGTCCGGTGAACTTGCGAGAAAAAGGATGTGTTGTTATTCTTGCGATTGACTGGTTCTAGTGGGTGGGGGCTACCACAAAGAGGAATTTAGAGGGTGGCGCTGAACAGCAGTTGAGAGGTGATGGTTCCCAATCATCCTTGCCTGAAATTCAGCATCCTTGATCGTCTTCGCATATGCCCCCTCTACACAAAGACTCCTGATTCGACCGACATCTTCAGCACCCGCCAACATGCCGCCATTGTTGGGGAAACCTGTCCTGCGGGGTTTTCAATATATAGGGGTTCCTTGGTTTGTCCTGCAACCAGCCCCACCCCACCCCAACCCCACCCCAACCCCACCGCACCCCGCCCCACCCCGCCCCACCCCAACCCCACTCCAAAACTTGGCATAACCAAACCCAGATGGCCATGGGTCAAAACCCCGTACTCCCGGTGAACATCCCAATCCCCACTAAAATAGACTAAAATGGGTGGTGCACCCACCCCAAAATGGGATCCCATTGGTTTTGACCCACAGCCAAATCGGCCAAACGATTCCTCTGCCGCGCCTCAGGTCGGTGCTGAGCTCTGCATCGGCCGCTTCCAGCAGAGCCAAGGCGGTGCGCCAATCACAGGCGCGCAGCGCCGTGTTGTAGCTCACCACGTCTGGCTCCACCTGCACAATTTCAGTGTGCCCCGTGGGTAGGAAAAGGCGGACAAACGCGTTTTTGGCCACCCATGTCAGTGGCAGTCATACAACAAGAAACCACAGGCTACTGGCCTCCGCAGGCACTCTGCCCAAGTACACAAAGTCAAAACCTTGGCATACGGCAGCGGGTCAAAAATAGGTACCCAAAGAGAACCCTGGTAAGTAGAACCATGGACTAAAACCTGCGGTCCCCTGGTGGCTTAATTTGACAGATACCCATATCAGTGAACATTTGGGGTTGCCTCCCGGGGTTGACAATTTGTGGTTGGAGCCGCCCTGCAGGCTCTGCTCCAATTGAATGTGGCGCATTGATTCGAACTGGGGAAAAGACAAAAAACAAACCAAGAATACAATCAACTTGTAACAATGGAAGCTTGCATTGCCTTGTAAATGGTGGTGTCCCCTTATTTTGGTGGAAAAAGCCATGTCTCAAATGGGCAACATGTATCTTTTAAGGAGCCCTGTTGTCAAGGTTTGCGCCCTCTTTGGAACACTGGAAGTGGAGAGCATGTGGACTCTCATCTGGAAAAGCCCTCCGTCTTCCAAGAGGGTAGGCAGCACTGCTCGGGCGTGGCACAAGGGACCTATTCGGTCACCTGCTTTGGCAGATTGGCGTGGAACGTTGCAAAAGCACATATCTAATATATGGCATGGGTCAAAAATAGCCCCCCCCCCACAAAAAAGACAACAACATATGGGCGTGTGTCAGAAATAGGGCGACCCCCCACCAAAAAAAGAGAGAGTGCTTGAAAGAGCTTTCTTTTTGCAATTGGTTTCCCTTTCAAACCACCCCAAAACGGGTACCCTCAAAGGAAGACACACCCACATTTGTGTAGGACCAAGGACCCAGGTAAAGCTGGCAAAACGCGGATTGGCAATCTGGAGCTGCTAGGGATCATGATGCTGCAAGCTTGAGATCACTGCAGGGATTGGTGGTTTGAAGGAGCACTTGTTGGATGCCACACAGATGGGTATGATGTGTATTCAGGACGCTTTTGGTGGACATCATTTAGGTGGGGATTTATGTCCACAGGGTTCCCCACTAAAATTCCGGAGAGCCAAATATTCGGAGCTGTGCGCCTTGTGGTGCAGACTTGGTGCAATTTACGCCCGGCCTCCATTGCAGATGCCTCGCGCAGCAGTCGCAAAGACTCCTGGGCTTGTCTCAAAGAGGGCCACTTCGAGTCACGTGGATTTTGCTACAACAGAAAGAACAGACATGAACTAACTACGGTGCCCATCCTCAAATCCAATGGGCTGTGTGTCAACACAAGCAGACCCCTGCAAATGGCAACCGAAACACATGCTTCCGTTTTACCGCCGCTCCCAGAACAGTTCATGCCAAAATGTAAAGGGTGCCCTAGTTGGTTTAGTGTTGAGTTGTTTCACAAGGTTGCCTTGATTCAAGCATCAAGTGGATAACTTTGCAATGAACGTAGAAAAGCAAAGAAAAGTCCCGGTAACAGACCGGTTTGGAAAAGTGCGAAAACATGCCAATCCCCCAATCGGTTCCCTTATCAGAAATTGCAACTATAGACAAATACCCATCACATTCAGCACCCCCCAACCACTGCTTTTTGGACAGTACTTGAAACTTTGGACATGGGAAAAAGCTTTTTGTTGGGGGCCGGGGGGTGCTGGATGTTTTGGTTTCCCTTCAGACAATCTCCATGACCCTTGGAAAATGGTTGCTCATTGCTTAAAATGGGGTCATTGACCAACTTTTAAAGGGTCAGAAGGAGACTCTAGGTACCCATGTTACACAGCGTCCTTCCCACGAATCGGCCAACCGCCCTGCCTGCCACTGGCTCCGTTTGGCCATCGCCCGATTCAGCCCCAGCGCGCCGGATCCGCCGGATCCGCCGGATCCGGAAGCGGGCGACAGCATGGAATTCTGGGCCCAAAGGGTTGCGGCGGTGAAACTGCGGAGTCATGCCCAAGGAAATACTCACTTGCCCAAAAGACCTGGACATAAAAGGTTAACCTTTCGGGGTGACTAAAAACAGATCAAACCCGGGAAAACTAAAGGTCAAAAGGTCGGCTTTGGGCAAGTAAGAATACAAACTTGGTTGACGATGGAAGGGGAGCAAAAATGTAAGTTCTAGCAGATAAGTGGATTCGGATTTCAACCACTAAACCACAATAAGCAAAAATGTAAAATGTTTCCCAACAACAACCATGCAAAGGCAATGAGGGCAGCAGCCGATCCCAAAGTGTTTTCGGCCCGACGAAGTATGTCTCCTTGACTTGTACTGGTTGAAAACTTGCCCCTTCTGGGATTTGGTGGTATTTCGGCCAACTTTCTGTAGACTTTTCCGTTGGATTCTTGGTTTGAACCAGGAATAATGTAAGAACATGGATGCTGCGTTGCTTGCACATATGACTTTGCACATGTGGGAAAGTACATGGAAGAAACATTTCCGCTACAAGCGCCCATTCTGTTAGGTGACATCTTAGTGGTAGGGAGGGTATGATGGCGTCAACCCAAGGTCCGTTATGAATGCGGGCCGTGTCTTTCACCTGCCTCTGTGTTGTCACACAGCATCGCCAGGCCATGTGCCACCACGCACAAGTCAGCGAGCTCGCAGCCTCCAAAGAGGCAAAGGAAAGAACGAATCCAAGACTGATCCAGAGCTGACTGGCAAGAAAAGGAATCCTCGGTTGCTTCCTGCTCCCCTGCTAATAGCTTAACTTTTGGTTGTTTAATGGAAAATCGATTAGTTGGCAAACAGTTAAAGTGCCAACATCCAAGCCAAATGCACCACTTGACGGCCCCCGACAAAGACGGCCAACGCAGTCGCTAGGCTGCGATGGCTCCCCAGTTGAGCCAGCCCTGACTTGTATGAGCGAAAAAAAAAAAAGAAAAAAAAAAAAAAAAAAAAAAAAAAAAGGTGGGAGCGCGACGCAGGCTTGCAAGCATCAGAGTGATGGGAACTCGGCATGTGCCAATCCTGTGTGATTGATAGTAAGGTCTCGTGCATTTGCAAACTCTCCACCTGACTCTTTTCACCTTGGGAATTATGTCCGCCAACCATGCTTGAGGGAGCTCCCGATTGTAGTTCATTCAGACCCATACACAGTATAGGGCCTACTCGGTGTGTGACGCAGTATTTTAAAGAGGTCAGCAGAAAAAAAGAAGCTGTTCAGACTTGTGAAGCAAGCAAAAGCATAATATCTCCACACTTGCAGCAGAATCATATCGATTTGGGGACTAGAGTTCCCTGCAAGACCCACCAACAGTAACTGTCCGTCGTGCCCTTTTCGAGAGAATCCAAGGGTTGTTTCAAGTTTAGCATCTTGAACACGGGTGCCGTTGTTTAATACTTAAAAAAATGCAAAATCCACCATGCGGCATAGGAACAACGAGGTTTCATGTTTCCAGAGGTGAACCGTCCCCTAGCCCACATGAGACAAACCAAAGGGGTCACGATTTAAGCCACAGACAGTGTTGCTCCAAAGGCTCTGGCGCAAGGTATGTATGCAACTGTGTTGTCTTCAAAGGGACCCACATGATATTGGCCCCAACATTGATGGCTTTGGGGAAGCCATCCGTATATATATATATATATTATTGTATATATATATATATGTATATATATTATATTATATTATATATATACATATTGTATGTACATATGTACATACAAATATATATATATATATGTTGTGTATATATATATATATATAGTCAGCTGCTATTCGTTCCATACCGGCTGGGTCCGACTTTCCCGGTCCCAGTCTGGGCCGTTTCCCATGTTTCTGCCCCTTGCAACTTGATCTCCGGAACGGCCCCATTTTGAGCCCCAGATCAGGGGCTCAGCGCAGGGCACATTGCAGAGATCTGGATCTGGCTGCCAAAAACCCCGCCAGAAAGTCGCAAGGAACCGGATGAACCGCAGGCTTCCACTTCCGCGGAAGATTTTCTGGACTTGGGTGCCACTTAGGTCTTCCCATCAAGTCCACAAACTCAGGGAGCGGGAATACACTGGCAGTCAAAACACCCTCAAACAGCTATGCCAACCTCCGATGGGTCTTTCAACCATGGCACAACCAGTGGTTTCCCGTTAAATCAACCCCAAAATGGGGACCCTGAAAAAAACACGGATGTATCGTTTGTATATATTCCTTTTTATATACATATATATATATATGTATACACATATATATATATATACATACATATATATATATATACATAGGTTTCCTGCGAGAGGCTGTGCCAAATCTCCGGCACGGCCAGCACCAGCCGCCGAAGCAAGTGGTGGAGATTCCGCGGCTGCACGCGGCAGGTCACCTTGGCTTCCCTCGAATTGGTATGGATTGGTTTGGGACATGGTTTGCTTTGTCCACTGTTGTGGGATACAACAACCGCCCTCACTAAGTTGTGTGTGTTTTGAACCTTTTCAAGGGAGACTGTTCAGTTCAGTGGAAAAGGCAACCCCGGGCTTGGAGGTGTTTCCGGGTTTTCCATTCACACGAACCTGGGCTTCAAAATCCAATCCAAAACAACCTGACGGGTTACCTCACCTTGGCTCCGTCTGGAACCAGCGCAGTCTGCCCTGGCTCTGTTTGCCGAGTGCTTGGTAGATAACAAAAAAAGACATGTGATATGAAGACCCAACCATACTACACCAATCGATAGGGGCCTCCAGACCAATACCCATGCAAAGTTGATAGCCGGAAAAGCGATGGTCTGGTTATGGCGGCCTGGAAGCGCATTTGGAACACTCGCGGAAATGGAGTTGGACCCAGTCCAAGCACTTTCTCAGGTCACCCGCTGCTGGTTGGCTTTCGTGGGTCCAGGGGGGAAAAAAAGAACACCTCTCCTCGCACCCCAGGGCTCCAAACCAGTTTGCAAAAAGCACGGCTGGGGGGTCGACTGGCGAAACCAGGGCTCTGTCACCTTGGTCCCATCTGGTTGCACGCCTATCGAGACAAACATGCGCAGAACCTCAGGCGCGCGCGCAGACGCTCAGCACGTCCGCCATGGTCTCCGGAGAAAGGATGCCTCTGGCTGAGAAAAGAACGCATCGAATCCCAAGCAAGGTACCTTGACTTGCCCACTGGGGTACTCCAACATATTTGTTCAGATTATGCTTCATATTTCGTTTACTCTAAAATTAAAATAATCATAATAAAAAAAGATGCGGAGGAGATCCCAGTTCAAGTGAATGGAATCATCATTATGTTGACTGTTTTCTGCGGGTCAAAGTGAGGAAGTGGCGTGGTTTCCCTTGAAATCTACCACTTGGGTGACTTTCATGGGTATAATTTGGGCTGCCCTCAGATCCCCTGCTAAAAGCTTAACTTTTAGTGGGTTAAATGGAAACTACCACCAAACCCTATAAGCCTAAAAGGCTAAGAAACCGGACGGCTGGGGGCCAAGTAATTTGGAGCAAACGTAACTTTGACCATTTTCCTATACGATATCTGGACTGGCTGTGGCCCTTGGCATGGATTCCTCAGGAAAAACATATATATATATATATGTCAAAAGCGACCGTCCAAATGGGGTGGGCTTCACTCCCAAACAAACGTGTTGTCTTCGAGCGGCCAAACTGAGGGCCCTTCATCCAGGGCCAAACTAGAGCAAATATGTGGCTGTTTAATCTCAGCTTTGTTGCCTGGGACCAGTCTATGGTGTGCTGACAGTGACTCACTCAGGCCTGGTACATGAAAACTGCTGCAAAGAAAAGCAAGGCAACACCACAACCAGATGACAATAGCCTAGAGGGTTGCAAGAAGCAACACAGTCCCGAAACAAAACTGCAATTTTGCTGAAATTCGAAATGCATATGACAACAACCACAAAGACTGACAAGCACCGCAGTTGACATGAGATTATTTGGCTCGATCATTCGGCACCCTGGTTACTAATGATGCTTGAAAGCTCCGTCCGGCTATCATGTCAGGCGGGTCATGCCCCCCAAAGCACCACACAAGCGTCAGGTATACTTCTGGCTTTGCAGCTGAGACTTCCGAGGTGAGTGCAGAAAAGAAGCCTAAGGAGCTCAAGGAGCATGAGGCGACGGGCCGAGAACAGATTGGTAGTGCATCCCCCCGCCTGGTTACGGTTATATGTAGCGTTATATTTAGTGATATCAAGTTGACACCCTTGAAAGGCGAAAGTACCCATCGAAACACACACACACACACCCAACCCGAAATTCCAACCCCTAAGCCGTAAGCATCTCCGGGCTGCGCCTTGAGCTTCATCTTCGCGCGCCGTGTCCTATGGCGAAAGGACTCAACTGAGACCTGGACGTGGGGAGAACATTGGCAGGTGCTGTATCCAAGAGTGGCCAATTTTTAGGACACACCCATGTATCTGGCTAAAAGACTACATGCAAGGCAGAAATAGACAATCCCCAAGCAAGCTGGATGAGCTTGTTCATCGCTGCTTGCTTACGATCTGGCAGGCTCAACTCATTAAAACAAGGCCATCGATGCAGCGAAAAGCCATCTGCTTACCGTCACAGTCGCCCAAGGGGGGCAGGTTGAAGGGAATTCGCGGAGCTTCCCTGAAACCGGTCAAAGCCACGAATCAACCGGTCAAAGCTCCATACCCCAGTCCTCATGACTGGCAGCTTGTCCTGGCAGAAGTCTCATGTGCTGAGGCTTCGAGGCCCTCAGACCTTGGTTTGCCTAAGGTCGAATGACATGCTTCCGGGTGACATCGCCACCCGGAACCGCAAGAAACTGACACAAGAAACTGATACCCTGGCAATGTCCGTGACTTCATGCCTGAGATGTAAGGAAAACCCTCCTGCATTGAGGGTGGACATACTCCACGAACACGCTGTTCACAAGGGTTGCCAATTCCGATTCCCCCCCCCAAATCATGGGAATTCCATTGAGCTGGCGTGCGAGAGTGCGCGTCAAATGGTACTCGTTCT